TTAATATATAATAATTTTTATCTTTTAGGTAGATGATCAGATAAGACAATTAAATTGTAAACTTCCACCTGATGAAAGAGAAAGTGCAATTGCTATAATAGAACATTCTGGTCCTCCTCCTGATGTTTGTCAAGCATATGCACAACTTTCTGGAGTTGCTGCCGTTTTGTCTATGTACTATGCATTACATGTAGGAGGTGGTGGTGGAGTAGGAAGAGGAAGAGGCGATGCTAGGGGTTTAATGAGAGTATTAACTACTTTACCAAATTGTCAAGCACAACGTGCATTTGAAGATCCCTTTTTACACACTTTAGTAAGTTTATCTAGTATAAAATTTATGTAATTATTAATTGTATAATAATTATAATTCCGTAATATAAAATTAAATTGTACATGCTTTTACAGGTATCTTTATTAATATTAAATATGGCTGATGAATTTTCAAATGAATCATTTTGTACAGTCATATTTGATGAATTTTTTCTAGCCGGATTAGGTAGAGATAATGTTACACGACATTTATTAAAATTACTTTGGTACATCCATCCGAAGTTACCGCCGACTCGACTTCATGCACTAATGAAAGCACTCCAACCAACTAGTCAGGTAAAATCATCTTAATTAAGAAAAATATATAAAATTATTATATTAACTATATAATGTCATAATTATATTTGTAATTTAAGCATAATGAAGCAGTACATAGTCTTTATGAAGCTTTACGTGATAAAATTGGAAATCGTTCAACAGAGGATCAGTTAACAACAACAGCACAAATGGATACACTAGGACTCGAATGTCCAACTTCTCCTCTTACTGGTGTACCTACACCAGCTTCTTGCTCATTGTAAACACGACATAATGCAATTTTTTGTATTAATACATTCAAAAATATGACTAAATAATTTTACTTATGAATAGTTGTCTTTTTTTACTTTGTATATGATTTTTCTACTCTTACTGAATAATGAATTCAATGAATAATAAAACAGTCATAATTTTACATAAATGTCTAAAATCATATATGAAAATGTATCTTCTATTTTCATTTCACTCTTCTATTTTTATACTAATTAATAAATGTAATGTATATATTTTTAATATACATAAAGTAAACGAATATTAACATAATTTAAATTACATGAATATTCACAGCATTATCTATATTTGATATATCTGTATTATTAATTAGTTCCATTACTAGTCTGTCCAAGTAATTTGAATCCAACTTATATGACATTAAAATCATTGAAATATACATTGATGCCTGTTTGGTTGCCAATAAAACTTTTAACTCGTAATCTATCATACTCAACCTAAACGAAATATGATACATTTTAATTATTTATTTTAATTATTTATAATAGTCATATATTTTTATTATATTACAGTACTTACATTTTAATGATGATAAGACCTACAAGAGTCCATTCAGTTGTTTTAAAAATAACATTTGCAGCAGATAATGAGAAAGTGTTAATTAATACTTTAATTAAAGTACTTTTTTCACTGCTGTATGTATACTGTGGTAATTTATTACTAGCTAAAGCACATAATAAATCAGGTAATCTATAAAAAAAATAATAGTTATATCATATATATAACTGTTAATTTAAGATATTAAAGAAACATAGAAGATCATATTACATTCTACCAAGTTTATCTAAAAATATCCGCCGTCGTAGCATTTTAGGTGCATGAGTCTCTGTTAAAGGTAACACTGGTGTAAAATTATTATCCTGTTCAGCAACTTCAGAATCATTCTTATTATTTTCTATCACCATACTTCCTTTATAAAATGCTCGAACCTAAAAATAATGATTATAATTGAATTATAATTTATTTTTTATTATATTATATTATTTATTTTTAGTTACTTAAATTAGATTGAACATACTTTTAATTCCATTTTTTTGCCCTCTTCTTGAAGAGTTGACAAATGTGGTAAGGGTCTTAAACTGTTTGTAGTTAAACTTATGTGATCATCTTTTTCATCTTCTAGCTGCAATTTATTTAATTTTTTACACAGATGCAAATATTTGTCATGCTGAACTATATTTTCTAATAATTGATTTTTAATATCTTCTTCTCCTGATAATAAAGAAATAGTATCTTTTGTAATCCATTCCCTTATATTATGCTCAATATGCATTGCAAGATTATAAAATTCATTTGATTGTTTTTTTTTAATAGAACTTTTATGTTTATAATCTTCACATTTATTTTGTTTTATTTTGTGTGCAAGATCTTTATTACTAATAATAATATTTTGTTTCGTGATAGCTATATTATGTTCTGTTTCTGATAGTTCAAATAAGTTATTTTGTTCTGTACTTTTTATATTTTGATTTTTATCTTCTCTTAAACCAATAGCATTCTTATTTACAATTTTATTATCTTGAATTACTGTGTTATTTAGTAGAATATTGTTTCCTACAATAGGTATTTTTTTAACATTATTATCTTTCAAGCATTCTTCGCTAATGGTATCTTCATTCTTTAAGTTAACAGACTCATTTTTCATATCTTTAAATTCTGCATGAATGTCTTTTGGAAATTCTGTACAAACATTGGGTTTTTTAATAATATTACTTCGTTGCATATTTTCATTATTTTTTATTATATATTCATTGTACATATTAATTTCTGGACATTTACTAAAAGATACATTTTTTGAATTTTTGCCTATTTCATTGGTTTCTATATGTTCATCGATGTTTTTAGGATTCAATACCATTTGTACATCAGTCAAATAAATTTCATCTCCAATTGTATTTTTATTTAATTCATCTATAGTTTTTAATATTTTAAATTCTGGTATTTCTTCTTTATCTCTTAACCATAAAGGACTTGTGAGCATTTGTTCCAAAATATAATTACAAGCACCATAACAACATGAGCTACAAAAATTTTTACGTCGAGTTATATCATAAACTTTGTTTTTCTTTGTTGATATATGATACCGTTGATTAATTGTTGTTGTCAATGCATTATTACATAGCACATAACCACATAATTTAATTATAGCCCTTTCTTCAATTACATCTTCCATATGACTTCTGTTAATATATCTTAACTATAAAAATTCATGACTATTTAAAGTAAATGTTACTAAAGTAAATTATTTAAATAACTACATTGTATTTAAATAGCTTATACTTACATTGTATAAAAGCCACTGAGAATCTATTTTTGGTTCTAAAAGTTGTTCAATGATTGTAAGAGCTTTTGCATCACATTGTTTCTTTTTAATTATTGCTAATTGCATTTGTGCCTTACTTAAATATAAATAAATTAAAATAAATTAATATATTCTACAGTTGTTTTTATTATTTTTAGATTATTTTTTCAAATACACATATGGGTAAATCTCACCTCATTTTCTTTTTTACATTCTTTCCTTCAAGTATTTCTTTCTTTAAAGTACACATTTCCATTTTTAGATAATAATAAAAGAAAATCTATTAATGTAAAAAATCTCTGTTACAGTTTACTCTTCTATAATGATCTTATTTATGAAGAAAAAACATGTCTGAAACAAGTGACATCAGAAAATTCCTATCTTTTATAAGAATAATTTGAAATAATAAAATGATTAAATTACAAAAATATCAAATTTTATGTAAAACTTTTCTTTGAACAAATAATATGTTTATTGAAACTTAAATATAAAACAAAGGATACATAAACATAAACATCTTTTATATTTATAATATTTTTCACACGAACCATTTTTATTACGATTTATTTTAGAATGTCGAAATTATTTAATAGAGTGTCATTATTGCTTGTGCAGTTAACGCTATTATCCGAATATAATTTTATAAGAACTTACTATTACTGTCTAAGAAGTTTTAGTAAGGATTTATTTTTTAGAAAAGTGATAATCACAGTAATGTTGGTCAACTTGTATATACAATTAATTAACCAAAATCAAAATAAATTTAAGTTTTTTTTCTTTATCACATATAAGTTTAAAATAAAACAAATTTATATATCTTTCATTACTGAATATGTAAAAAGGTTTATTATAACTATATAAAAACTAGTAATATGGAATACGAAAATGCAATAGATTTTGGTTTGTATGTTAACGCTCTCTAGCGGTAATTTAAAGAAACATTCAACCGGCTGTCTTGTAGAGGTAGAAGTCTACCGAAGTAGATGGAAAAAGAGACCAGTAGAGTGTGACTGGTTGTATGGTGTGATCTTGAAGTAGTGTTACGTTTTCAGTATTATCTTGTTGTGCTCGCCATGACGTTGGTTTGAAATTGTATTTCAAAATATTAATCCCGATGTTGGTCGCAGGACTGTGCCAATGTAGTTTTCATGCTTTTAACGAGGAGAGAATCCGGGGAGGCAATTCGTGGATACCGAAGAAAGCTTCAAACACGTTTGAAGCTTTCGAGGTCGTATTCATGGAACTATGAACCTGGACTCATTGTCTTTTACTTTGTCACAAATCAGTTATTTGGTTGCGAATTTAAATAAGAAAAATTTTCGAGACAGCTGCCAAGAAATATCAATTGTAAGTAGAAAAAAAACCTGTTGTACTACTGCATCTCTTATGCCCACCCCTTCCACTTTCTGTTCATCACACGCCGTCCTCGAAACAGCGCAATATGCTTCGTGAATATTATTACAGATTCCATCTATCGCCATTTATTAAAATAAACTTTCTTTTTAAAAAAATTAAGCGTGGATTTATATACAAGTTAATATACTCATTTTACAACTATTTGCGATTGAATATTCACGCGGCATGAAATACATCTTGAACTTAGCCTCTTTCCGTAATTTGTATGTGTTCCAACGTATTATTTCGAACGATGAAACTCTGTAAATTCTTCAACGCTTGTTTCTAGAACATTAATATTAATAATGTTTTAGTTATTTAACAAATATAAAAGTTGTGAAATATTTATTTTGTTCGAAGTTATTTTGAAATGTTTTATAATCTTTACTGTTTTATTTTTATTATTGGACATATAATAATGTCATAGAGGTCGTGTTTAATATATTTACTTCTATGTAGATATTTTAGCTATGATATTTCTTTCTTTTAAAGTTTATTATTATATTGTAGCTGGTGCAGTGGAAGGGTTTGGAGGCAGACAGACATTTGCTGCGCTCTTTACTCTCGTGCATCGACTTTTCAACTGGAGAGCCACCAGAATCAAGTGCAAAAGATTACTTTCAAGTGCAACTTCTAAAACAAGAGTGTACTAATCTTCTTAGCAAACCTTCCTTTATTTCTAATTTGTGCTTTGCTATAGATCATCCATTTCATCAACAAAAGGTTTATTTTACTTTTTATTTAGGTTAAGATTATCAAAATCAATATATATATATATTAAATTATAAATTAATATACATTAAATGTTTCGTTTTATTACATAGATTTTTCAAATAGAAAATTTTTGTAAACTCTAACTTTACTTTTCAGACTTTGAATCCATCACCAAAGTTTTTTTTACGTTTAAAAAAAGTACTTGGCTTAACTCTAGTACAAGAAGTTGCATTTGCAATTGCATTACTGCATTCTGAGAATACTGAAATCCGTACATTAGCTGTAGAACACGTAAAAAAACAGCTACCTGAATTGATAAAAAATTATATTAATTCTGAGACAAGCAATAGACATCACGAGGAAGGATTGCACGATTCATTGCCTGAAGTTCTTCATCTAATATTATCTCAGGCTTTACATTCAGCCAATCAATTTGGCCTTTCATCTGAAGCAAAAGAAAAATTTCTCAAGAATTTAAGGCGCGATTTTCCCCGTGAGCTGGTACCAGTGGTGCTAGCACCACTCTTGTACCCAGACAACGGGGAAACTCCGCAAGCCAAAATCGAATTAAACATGGCTGTTAATCAAATGGTAATATAAATAATTATTATTATTATGTAATTATTATATTATACTGTAAATTAAAAATTTTCTTTTCAGGATGGAAATTCTCTAGTAGAATTGATTATGGAATTAGGATATGGATTCACTAGTAGTGTTGAAGAATGTCGATCAACCTTAGCTGGTTTAGGAGCTCGAGAAATATCTCCAGCATGTGCTGCAAGAGTTTTAGCTCACATGGCACGTAGCTGTAATGGTCTTGATGATGCTGGGGGATTGCAATCGTTTTGGAGTAATTCAGGAGCTGCACAAGATACAAATAAGGAAAAAGCAAGTGATAGTACTGCTCCTACTACATGGAATGTTGAAGTTTTTGTTCAAGCTTTAAAAGAAATTGTAAGCATTAATAATTGATATCTAATAACTTTATATATTAAATTAAATGTTAAATTTTATTTTAAGTTTTTTTTATTAATTGCAGCAATCAACATTATCTTGGAATGAAGTAATCGTTAAGTTGGATCATGCAGAATTTGTTATTAAAGATAGACAAGGGTTGAATTTGTTAATCACAGGTTTAAGGTTGGGATTAGGTTATCCTTTAGATATGTTTCCTGTGGAACTTTTTTATCGTTATTGGGATAATGTAGAAGGACAGTTTTCTCTAGTGCAGCAAATTTTAAAGTGCCCTGATATATTTTGCTTTGCTGATTATCCATATCATTCAGTAACTGTTGATGTATTGAAAGCAGCACCAGAAAGTGATAGTAAGGAAGCACAAACTTGGAGATCCTTAAATGTAGTTGAACTACTCTTGCATATGGCAGAAAGAGGACTATATGGACCAGTTCAAGAAATATTTAAATGGCCCATTCAACACTGCCCTGATGTCCTTGTATTAGCATTACTACAAATTAATGCTCCTATTAGTAGACTCAGACAAGAATTACTTAGTACATTAATGCCTATTTTTCTCGGAAATCATCCAAATTCGGCTGTTATTCTGCATCATGCTTGGCATGGAAATACAGTTAAAATAAAATCTATTATTATGCATGCTATGGCCGAATGGTACATACGTGGAGATCATGATCAAACAAGACTATCTCGTATTCTTGATGTTGCTCAGGACCTCAAAGCATTAACTCATTTATTAACTGCTCAATCATATCCATTTGTTATTGACCTAGCCTGTTTGGCTTCAAGAAGAGAATATTTAAAATTAGAAAAATGGTTGACAGATAAAATCAGAGAACAAGGAGAAGTTTTTGTTACTGCTTGTGTAAAGTTTTTACAAAGACGTTGCCCTCAAGTAATGGGACCTGGTATAAAAGAAGATCTTACAGTACCAAAAGCAAGTCAACTTCCACAAGAGACGCTAACAACAATGCTTGCTTGCTTGCAAGTGTGTGCTGGGTATGTTGTATTTTTATTACATGTATCATCAGCATAATAAATATTTTATCCTAATTTTTTTCTTTCTTTCTTTCTTTTTTTTTTTTTTTTTTTTTTTTTTTTTTTTTTTTTTAACAGTAGTGTATCTCAAGAATATTCTGAAGCAATAATGACAATGGTACAAAATTGTAGTTTAATGTTGAGTAAAAGTACAATGAGTAGACCTCCACCGCCAGGAGTTTTACGACATCGTGCATTAGAATCTTTTAATCCAGCAACTTTAGGAGGACAGGTATCGAAATTAATATAATTTCTTACATTTACTTATAAGCACTAAAATGTACCTTATTTAATTTTACAGTTATTTTCTTCAAAACAAGTGGACCCACTTGGGAATTTAAGTTCAAGTCTTGCATCTATGGGTTTGGGTTCCAGCCTTGGTCCACCCAGTAGTTCTGCGTTTAATTTACCAGGTGCTCTTGGACCGTTAGTATCAGCACCTGGCTCTCCTTCTCGCCTTATGGGACCTTCTCCAAGTCCATTTCCGATGTTGCCATTATCTTCACAATTACATTCAGGACCAGTTGGTACACAAGGACCATCTGTTTTACCTGGTAGTACAACGATTGGAGGACTGGGACGACTTGGGCCACCAACAGGCATTGAAAAAGCAAGAATACCCGAAACATCAAACTTATTTCCTGATATGGCACAAAATGTTTCCAAAGAAATTGAAGATGAAGCAAATAGTTACTTTCAACGGATATACAATCATCCGCCACATCCTACGTTATCAATTGATGAAGTTCTTGATATGCTAAAAAAGTTTCAAGACTCTGGTAGTAAGAGAGAGAGAGAAGTATTCAACTGTATGTTGCGAAATTTATTCGAGGAATACCGATTTTTTCCACAATACCCAGATAAAGAGTTGCAAATTACGGCACAACTATTCGGAGGAATTATCGAAAAAGGACTGATTAATAGCTGTATGACACTTGGATTAGCTCTAAGATTTGTACTGGATGCACTTAGGAAATCAGGAGGCAGCAAGATGTATTACTTTGGCATAACAGCTCTGGATCGTTTCAAGAGTCGTTTAAAAGACTACCAAACATACTGTGAGCATGTCAGAGCAATTCAACATTTCAGTGAGTTCCCACCGCATTTAATTGAGTATATAGAATATGGATTACAGGGGCAGGAGCCTCCCACAAGACCTCAAGGTCCAGTCCTCCCAAAAACTTTAGCAGCTATGCTGGCACCGGTTACTACACCATATAAAACTATTACAACAACAACAATAACGACAAGTACTACTCAAGCGAAATCATCCACAACACCAACCACCTCTCTCTCGGCCAGAGTAAGTAAACTATAAATTTCAGAATTATAAAGTGCAATTTTTTTGTTACTTATAATATCTTCTTTTAATTTTAGCCTTCCATTGCTAATGCAACAAATATTGATACATTATTAGTAGCAACAGATAAAGAAGAAAAAATTACAACACCACCAGAAGCTTTACAAGATAAAACAGCATTCATATTCAATAATCTTAGTCAACTCAATTTACAACAAAAATGTGATGAAATTCGAGAAATTGTCACGGAAGAGTATTGGCCTTGGATGGCTCAGTATTTAGTAATGAAACGTGCAAGCATAGAATTGAATTTTCATGCCTTATATTCAAATTTTCTGGACTGCTTAAAATTGCCAGAAGTGTATAAAATGGTTACTAGAGAAACGTTTAGAAACATAAAGGTTTTATTACGAAGCGACAAAGGGATAGCAAATTTTTCTGATCGCTCGCTTCTAAAAAATCTAGGTCATTGGTTAGGAATGTTAACACTTGGCAGAAATAAACCTATTTTACATATAGATATAGACCTAAAAAGTTTACTTGTTGAAGCATACCACAAAGGCCAGCAAGAACTTCTTTATGTTGTTCCCTTTGTGGCCAAAGTGCTTGAAAGTTGTGCAAAAAGTCGTGTTTTTCGTCCTCCTAATCCTTGGACAATGGCCATTATGAATGTATTAGCAGAATTACATCAGGAACCTGATTTAAAACTTAATTTAAAATTTGAAATCGAAGTATTATGCAAAAATTTAAGTATCGATGTTGGTGAATTGAAGCCTGCACTTTATTTAAAAGATCCAGAAAAATTACGAAACTTGGAATATCAGTTATCACATCCTAATAAAAAATCTGAATCAAATAACAACCAGCAACAAACTCAAGGCCCTATTGAAGAATTAGTTGGACCTACAACAACTGGAACTATTGTTCCACAAACGGCTCCTGCAAATACAACACCCTCTTTACCTACTGGTCCACCAGAACCACGTTTTAATTATATGGATATATCTGTAACAGGCATTGCTAATATTTCTCAACATATCACCATTAATAATAATTTACCATTATTTCAAACACATCCACATTTAAAACAATTTGTTCGTCCAGCTGTTGAGAGAGCAATTCAAGAATGGATTCATCCTGTAGTCGATCGATCGATCAAAATAGCTCTAACTACTAGTGAACAAATTGTGAGAAAAGACTTTGCATTAGATCCAGAAGAAGTACGAATGAGAACAGCAGCAAGACATATGGTTCGCAATTTAACTGCTGGAATGGCTATGATTACTTGCCGTGATCAAGTTTTAGCATCGATTAGTACAAATTTAAAACAATCTTTTTTAACTGCAATACTGAGTATGACTCCACAACAAAAAGAACTCGCAGAACAAGCAGCTAATGTAGTAGCTGCTGATAATATGGAACTTGCTTGTGCATTTGTACAAAAGACAGCTATTGAAAAAGCAATTCCAGAAATGGATAAACGTTTATTAAATGAAATCGAATTGCGAAAAATTGCACGACAGGAGGGAAGAAGATATTGTGATCCATTAGCAAAATATCAAGCAGAGAGAATGCCTGAACAAATAAGATTAAAAGTTGGTGGAGTGACTCCCCAACAAATGGCTGTTTATGAAGAATTTGCAAGAAATATTCCAGGATTTTTGCCACTCTCTGAGCGAGACACACAAAGTCTATTAATGCCAAAACCTGTTACAGTATGTATTCTATGTAATATACCTTTTAATTTTGTATAATATTATTTACTTGGAATATTGTTCTTTTAAAGGAACCTGCTATAACTGCATTTGCTGCTAACCCAGCAGTTGCAGTAGCAACAGCACAACAGGTAGCCGCATATGCAGCAGCAGTAAGTAATGACGAAGTTGGAGCTATGTTGGAAAAGCTTGCAACTGAAGTTGAAGTGTTACTTGCTGCAATGGGTCCAGCTGCACCTCCTCCACAACATGCTGCCCTCCATAGTCTTTTGGAATCCATTATTCTAACACGAAGATCAAGAGATGCAGGTGCTGCTATGACATTACTTAAAAAGGTAAAGTATTAGAAGATATATTATTTAACTATGCCAATCATTATATTCAATCTACATATCCATAATTTTAGGCTGTAGAAGGATTATTAGATGGTCCTACCATTTCCAGCGGTGTAATAGATTCAGAAATTATATTACGGTATAGAGAACTTCATTTACGCATTTTAAAATGTCTTCAAGATCCACGTGCTTATGGAATGCAATGGACAAATAAACATGTTACACGATGTTTAACGGAATGCAGAGAAGAGTTTCGGTATAATTTTGAAGCTGTCGATTATCTCATCAGGTATTCATCTTCCCTAATATATTACTAAATTACTGTATCAGTTAGACAATAAGATATAAATAACATACTTATTATTATTTTTAGATCTCATTTAATTAGTCTTCCACAGTATGATTTAGCTTTGGCTCAAGCTATAGATTCTGGCAACGCCATGGCAACAGCGTTTGCCATGCAATTGGTGCAACTTTATTTAATTGATGAAAGACAAACAACACATGTTACCGAATCTGACCTGTTTCACACAATTGAAATACTTGCTAGAATGGCACATCATAGAGCACCACCTGAAGGGTAATTATTAATAATATAGTAATGTTTAATAGAATAATTTATGTGTAATTAATTAAAATAAAATTTATGTACTCCTCAGGATTTTACTCTTTAGACTGACAAGTCTAATAGAATCATTGCGTGCTAATCATGATCCTGGAGTATTAGCAGATAGAGCTCCTGCTGGTCCTACAGCGCATATTCATTCTGGAATTCTACAGGTGAGAGTAAGTAAATTTTGCCAGTCTTAAGGTGTCAAGAACACACATTTGTGTTTACAATTTATGTTGTTTTTCTTTTTTCCATAGGCTCGTGACTTTGACGATCCACCCGGATTGATGGAAAAAACAGAGTATTTGTTACGTGAATGGGTTTCAATGCATCATAGTCCAACACATGCTCGTGATCCTACAAAAGCTTTTGGAATGTTTGTTCATCAAATGAACATTCATGGAATTCTCAAAACCGACGATCTCATAACAAGATTCTTTAAATTAAGCACTCAAATGTGTGTTGATCTGTGTTATCGTGCTTTAGCTGAGACAAATGCTGCACCATCTGTTGTTCGTGCGAAATGCTTCCATTCTTTGGATGCTTTCGTTCGTTTAGTCGCGCTTTTGGTAAAACATTCTGGTGATAGTACAAATACTCATACGAAAATTAATTTACTGAACAAGGTTTTGGGAATTGTTGCTGGCGTATTACTGCAGGACCATGAAATACGAGGAACCGATTTTCAACAATTACCCTATCATAGAATTTTCATTATGCTTTTCCTCGAACTTTGTGCTCCTGAGCCTGTGTTGGAAGCAGTAAATTATCAAGTATTAACTGCTTTCTGCCATACGCTACATATACTTAGACCAGCCAAAGCTTCAGGATTTTGTTATGCTTGGCTAGAGTTAGTGTCACATAGAGTTTTTATTGGGCGTATGCTTGCGATTACACCGCAACAAAAATGTTGGGGCATGTATGCGCAACTTTTAATTGATCTGTTCAAGTATCTTGCACCATATCTTCGAAATGCTGAACTTGCAAAGCCTGTTACTTTGTTATACAAAGGAACTCTTAGAGTACTATTAGTCTTATTACATGATTTTCCTGAATTTCTTTGTGATTATCACTACGGATTCTGCGATGTAATTCCACCCAATTGCATACAAATGAAAAATCTTATTTTAAGTGCATATCCAAGAAATATGCGGTTACCTGATCCATTTACACCGAATTTAAAAGTTGATATGCTACAAGAGATAGCTCATGCGCCACGAGTATTGACCAATTTTGCGTCTATGATACAACCATTAAGTTTCAAAAAAGAACTTGATTCATATTTAAAAGCGCGTGCACCAGTTACTTTTCTTTCTGAATTACGTAGTAATTTACAAGTATCTCAAGAAGCTGGTGTTCGCTACAATATTCAGTTGATGAATGCTCTAGTACTTTATGTTGGAACACAAGCAATAGCTTTTATTCGTAGTAAAGGACATACTCCTAACATGTCTACTATCGCACATTCTGCACACATGGATATATTCCAAAACTTGGCAGTTGATCTCGATACAGAAGGTCGTTATTTGTTTGTAAATGCAATTGCAAATCAATTGCGATATCCTAATAGTCATACGCATTACTTCAGTTGTACACTTTTGTACTTGTTTGCTGAAGCTAATACAGAAGCGATACAAGAACAAATTACGAGAGTTCTTCTTGAAAGACTTATTGTAAATAGACCTCATCCATGGGGTCTTCTAATTACTTTTGTTGAACTTATTAAAAATCCAACGTATAAATTCTGGACGCATGAATTTGTTCACTGTGCACCTGAAATTGAAAAGTAAGTTATTGTAATTATATATATTTGGTTATACTGATTTTAAATATATTACTTATTTTTCAACTTGTATTGTTCCAGATTATTCGAGTCGATAGCTCGATCGTGTATGGTTCAAAAACAAGTACAGCCTACTCCTGAACCGGAGATCCCAGAGTGATAGGACACTTTATTTTTCATTGTCGATTTGTGTACAGTAAAAAAAGAAGAACATAAATATTAAGAGTCGCGTGTAAAAAGTTGTTAATGTACGAATAGATGTACTATACTTTGGGCTTAACTTTTGGTGGATAGATATTAAATAACCGTATATTAAGTGTATCAATTGAGCTAGAATAAGCGAGACTACTATTATGTTAATATTTTAATAAAAATATTGTTGCATCGATCAGAAAGCAACGAACATTCAACCTTACAAAACGTGTCTTTCGAACAGTGTACTTGAAACAGTGTGTTACCATGACATTGTAATATTATAGCACAAATGTCAGTATAATGCGTATCATAATGAAGAAGAGGAAGTCAAGACAACAAGGGTGTTCAAGAAGTAATAGTGAATTTTTGTAGGTTAAATTGAATATAAATGTATTATGAGTAAGTGGTACATTGAGTCAGTACCAAAATTAATATGTTGTGCTATGTAAGTCATTTAGGGAGTACTTGCAGAATGTATGGTGCATTTGGAAATCTGTAATATAGTACATAATTACTAGTATATATTGATGTAATTTTTTAAGAATTGTAGCTATGAAAGAAAGATAAAGCTGATTAATTAAAATGTTGTTTACGTGATCTTTTGCTTTAAATGTTAAGTAGTGATTTATAATTGTCACTTATTAAATAATTTATTAAACTTTATACACATTGTCTGTACATAATTCGAAACTTATATTGTCAAAGTTAAACAACTTGATGATCACGTGTTGCATGATACGAATCCCTTTCCTTATCTGGGAATTTGGTAGGTAGATTTGGACTGTGTAAATGACATTTTGCAGAAAATTTTATTCCTGCTACATCTATTTCGTAATCTCCTGATAATATATATTCATTTGATACTTCTTGTGGATGTCCTTGTGAATCAAAATTTTGCACAAATCCAAGGCAAACCTAAATAAAGTTTATTACTTATTTTTATATAAAAAAATACATATTTTGCAACTTTTTATATGCTTTTGAAATTTTTCAAAATTTTTTGAAATTATTAATGTTAATATTAAATTATTATAACAATTATAATATTATTATAATAAAATAATATTAATATTAATAACATTAAATTATACCTGCTTTCTAAATGTAAATCCATAACCTGTAGTAGTTGTCATTCCACAATATTTCCCGTTTCTAAAAATTGGTTCACTACCCCAACACCATGTATCTAACTCAGGATCATGATCATTCAATAATAACTGCACATATTTTCGTTTTACACCTTCTTCGCGTTGTTTTAAAAGGGCATCTCTTCCAATAAAATTTACATCTTTCTATTAAACATGTAGTATTGAAACGTTATATTAATTTCAGTTTAATATATAAATTATATAAATAATAAAGATATATACATCAAGTTTTACTCTCCAAGTTCGTCCACATTCTAAAGGAGTAGTAAAGGTATCTAAATCTTGACCCCAAAATGCATAAAATTTTTCAACTCGTAGAGCTCGAGTTGCATAATAACCAGCGTGTTTTATTCCGTATTTAGCCCCAGCATCTATGAGTCTTGTATAAACATGTAAAGCAAACTATAAACCAGTATTAAATAAAACAAAAATTACAATTTAAGAGATATTTCGTTTTTATTTTTAAAATTTATTTTCATTTTTACGTTTAGAATACTTACTTCATTTGGAATATATAAAACATAGCCAAGTTCTCCTGTATGAGTTAGATTCATTGTACGTATTCCATTAGCAAGCCCAACATCTAATTCCTTTTGATGAAAGAAATATATTTTATTGGTTAATTATGATTAATATACCATAATAAATAATAAATACCTTAAAAGTGAAAAATGGGAAGTTTTTAGGGTTTAGATCAGTATCTGTCAATTCTGACAGTAACTGTCTAGTAGCAGGACCCATAATACAAATTGCTGTATATGCTGATGTTACATCAGACACTGCTACAGAACCATCTGTAGGTAAATGACGATTAATCCAATGTTTACATCGAGTTTGTTGTATGGTAGGTGCAATCATCATGTAACTTAAATACAAAAGAAATATATATTATACGGCTATATATTATGTCTTATAATTTGATCAACTTATTTATACAACTTACTGATTAGGAGCAATACGTGCTAAACTACAATCATTTTCATAGCCTCCACGATAATTTTGTAAACCTGTATGAATAATACTTCCCACTGGAACATCTACATCATTTGAACATAAGTATTGTAAAAAATTTACAACTTCCATCCCATTTGACTAAAACAACAAAAGCATTAAAAAATTATTTAGTGTAATAATATATTCTCATGTTATTTACAACAATGCATCATACCCATAAATCAATTTTAGTAAAAGAAGAATAATCACTTAATCCAATTGTTTCACGACATGCAGCATATTCGTCCGAAACAGATTCAAACCATGATGGTTTACTAAACGTATTTGTGTATGCTATCTTATATCTTTGAAATCCATCAATCGTTTCTAAATCTGTGTAGCAAAGCAATCTGTATAATAAAATCTAGTTTCTTTTTTTATAATACAGATATATTAATAAGTAATTTTCTACAAGGAAATTTATTCTAAAAGATATCTCTAATGTTTTTTTTATAAAAATCAGTAAATCTACCATTATCATCATCTAACTGAAACCAGGTTGGCCGCTCATATCCCATTACTTGACCAAATATAGCACCAGCTTCTCTGAGTTTTGGATAAATTGGAGACATTCTTAAATTTCTACCAGTTTTGAATTCATGATGTGGATATTGTAAAGCATAATGCATTCCAGGAACTTCCTTTACTCGATCACGTAAGAATTTACGATTGTTATGAAGTCCCAAAAATCGTGATACATCTAATTCGTACATGTCTAAAGATGTCGAACCATTAACTATTAATTCTGCAGTTGCTCGACCAACACCACCAGCCGCTGATATCCCCACCTACGAAAATTATCTTTTATTAATTCTATAAATAAATATTAATTTAATTCCACTTACCGTTTTCATACCAGCAGCAATATAATAGTTGCGTATTTCTGGTGCTTCACCAACTATCCATTTGCAATCTGGAGAAAATGCTTCAGGACCATTACATAATTTTTCTAAAATAGCATTTCCTAAACTTGGAATCCTATAAAGCATTTGTTCAAGTAAAATATGAAAATGATCCCAATCTTCTGGTAAAAACCTTTCTTCTGTACTTTCTAAATAAAAATTTGTTTAATATTTTAATTTATTTAAAATTAATGATAAGTAAAGATCTATACTCAACCAGGTATTGTTCCATCTTCAAATGCTGGTTTTGCAACTGGTTCAAAACCTCCAGCTAATAAACTTCCATTGTTTTCTCGAAAATAAATATATCCATCTAAATCTCTTATAACAGGTGTCATAGGATTTAAACCACTAATAGGTTTTGTATGCAGATAGTAATGTTCTACAGGATGAAGAGGTACCTAAATAAGATGTACATAATTAAAATGATTGAAAAATAATGTTTCTTGCAAATTTAATCACAATCAAAATATAAATATTTAACCTTTACATATGGTTCACTTAATTTTCCTACATTACGTGCCCAAAATCCAGCACAATTGACAAAATGTTCACATTCAATAGTACCATGTGTTGTTTCTACTGCTTCAATTCTACCATTTTGTGTAACAATTTTAGTAACTTTACAATTTTCAAATACTTTAACACCTAAAATTATTAAGGAATTAAATTTTTAACTTGATTATAACATAAAATTAAATACCATTATATTTCCTTAATTTTATGAAAAACTGGGAATACCATTTTTCCTTGCCTCTTCTATTAATGTTAAACAAATTTGATATGGATCTCCTACACCATCTCCTGAGATCCATAATCCACCAACCAAATCATCTATTCGTAGTAATGGACATATTTCTTGTACCTGCTTTGGTGTAATCAAATGACACTCAATATTACGTGATCTAAAAATATTTATATAATGCTTTATACTTGGCAAATTGTACATTTATACAAATACATACAATTACATAAAAATGGTCTCACATAGACTGTGCTTTCATTCGTTTAAATACTGTCATACGATCTCTTGTGCGTGCTAAAGAAAGACTGCCACACTGTTTCCATCCTGTTAGTAAACCTTTTTTTTCCAATTCTTTATATAATGCTATACTATCTTGAGCAAGTTTAACTTGTGCCAAACTTGGTTTAAAAGCTCCTACTAATCCTGAAGTATGCCATGTTGTCCCTCCTCCCAATCTAAATTTAGGTAAAATAAATATGAAAAAATACATTTTTATAAAATATAAAATATATGCATTTAGAAGTATACCTGCCACTTTCTATGATAACAGTTTGAGATCCCAATCCCATAAGTGAAAGATGATAAGCAACTGCACCACCCATAACACCACCTCCACATATAACAACTTTTGTTTCCTTAGGAAGTGGATCATCAACATCTTCGTTTTTTTTTGCAGTAGATTTTGAACTGCTATGTCTTATTCTTTTGTTACAATTGTAAAAAACAAAATTATCCCATTTTGTTACAAATTTATTACAAAACAATTTCGAGTGATGCCACATTGTAATAAAAAGAAATCTAATATTTTTTCCAAATTTACATGTAAATACAGTAGAAATAGACACATCTATAACTTATTACACTTCTATTAAGGTTAGATTTGTTATAGAACGTAAAAGAGAATCACTGTATTATTGTCCCATTCTTATTTTGAAATATCATTAATTACTTTAAGTTAATGTTCAATTCGTAATATTTTAAATAAGTTTATTCATTAATAGATGTTATATATTTTCATAAATGTGACCACATTTTATCAACAAAGTTTAATTCAAATTTAAAAAATGAAAACTGGTTAATTAAATTATTTCTTTATTTAATCGAATAATAATTTTATTTTTCATGTATAATAATAATATATTTTTAGAAATATACAAAAATTGAATGCTTATAAAAATAAAAAACAATAAAGGTTACTCAGAAGATTAGTTCCATTTTACGGTAGTAGTAACATTATAATGTTATTAATATACAATACATTAAAAAATATATAAAAACATAAATATTACATTAAAAAATATTGTGTTATAAATTTAGATCATTTAAAATATACTTTAAATTATCAATCGTTGAAAGTAAAAAATAAGGATAAATAATTTAACTCATAATTAAAATTTTATTTTATATCAAGTTTATTAATTTATACTTTTATTTTAGAAATATAACTTTCTTGTTATATCTTACAAAGTATTTAATTTTATTTGAAAACTTATATAAATTTTTATAATTATTGTAAAAAATCAATAGTGCACTTTATTTCTAAAAAATAATTTTTAATAATACAATGTTATTAATATATACGTGTGTGTATGTACGTACGTGTGTACGATGAGATGTATATATATACATATTCATACATACATACACATCCGTACATATATTGTTCAATATATATATTAAATTACAAAAAAGATTACATTTACAATTGCAAAACATTAAATTATAAAAAGAGATATAAATTGGGTAATTTTATCATTTTTAACAATTTTACAAAATAGATTTTTAGTAGTTCATATAATAGCAACTGCTATTAGTTGTTAGTGCAAGTTGAATACAGAAATATTATATATATAACATTTATATGTTCAGAAAAAATACCAAGTAATGATGAAAATACTTTTAATATTACTTCATGTAAAAGTAATTTTATATACATGTTACATATGAAAATTTATATTGTGCAATATTTATTGCAAACAAAACTATTAATAAACTTTTGTACATTTGAGACAATTACTCTACACATCTTTAATGAAGACATTCAAAAGCAGAACGAGTAAAATATTTTTTAGGAACTTTTTCATCTAATTTGTTTATTTCTTTAATATTTAAATTAATGAGACTTTTTATGAAAGTAAAAATTAAATATTTTTTTTATACTATGTGCAATCTTGCAAACTTTCACATAACAAATATTTAAAGCTGATTGTTTATATCCCAAATATTGGAAATGTTTTAATTTATAAAAATTAAAAATTGTTTGCTATATATACATAACTTTCAAATGGTTTTAAAGTGAAATGCAATAGTTACTAATATTGTGTTACTTTATTTCCTATAATGACCCAGATAGGCTTTACAGTTAGAACAACTGTGATGGACATCCATACATTCATCAATACAGCAAGGAATCAAACAGCATCCAAACCAACATCTGTTGATGATAATACAGTAAATAATAATAGATAAAATATTTAGAAAGTATTAAATTGATCACTAAAAAGAAATTTGTATGTATACCCCATTAATGCAATCACAACTCCAGATATATAAGCAATCATGCCAGGTTCTGTCTTTATTGTTGTATCAACTTGTGCAAAACAATATGGACAGGTGGTACGTGTTGACTGAGGTCCAAGTGGAATAATTTGTATAGTAGTTGTTGGTCTTGAGTCTACAATAACAATGGAAATTTATATTGTCAATTATTTTCTTAATTAGTTTAATGTTATTATAGATTTCATTAGAATAAAATAAAAATAAAATGCACAAGATGTTTCTGGAGCTGAAGCAGGTAGATGTGTCCCCAATGTCTGTGAATAATCAGGTGGTGCAAGTGGTACACATGACTCATAAGGTGGTGGTGGCGGCTCAGATTTATACATAATGTATTACTTATAAGTAGTTTATCTATAATTAAACATGATTATATAAGTATACACAAATAAGAAATAATAGTGAATTTATGGATTCATATTAACAATTATATTTAAATAATACAAACGCGCGCGCAATTTAAAATCTGTATTGTATTACAACACAATGTGAGCATTATACAAACAAAATTCAGGACAATTTTTATTCGGTTACTTAACTCGTATATTTTTTTGAATTACTCAAATAATAAATTTTAATGATATAGTCACATAATAAAATATCCCGTTAATCATAATAAAACAATTTATCTTATAAAACTATTAAAAATTAACTAAATTTTAATCATGCGTAATTGTAATTTAACAATGATTGTTTTAAAAATTTTCACTAAAAATAATAACAATAGCCGCTTCAATATCTACAAATTGATTGCAAAATTGTGTTATAACTAACATTCAGTTCATTTGAGGTAAAGTGAGAAAAGTCATGACAATCTTTTACTAATATTTGGTTAAATACATAGTGAATTATAGTTTCACCTACCTTAATAAAATGATAAGAAATTGAGTACCAATTATTTAGATAATGTATGAGTAATTTCTAAATATGTAGTCCATGTGTATAATTTTAATAGGTTGAAGTGTAAATACGAAAAAGGTAAGAAATATTCTTATATACATATGTAGATGGCGCATCACGAGTTTCATGAACATTCCATTGAAACTAATATTGATTATTTAAAATTTTTAAATTTTGATATTACTTTTTAATCTGTTTCCTATTTAAATTATTCAAATAAATTATAAAAAAGAATTTCTTATATATGTATATTTAATACTTAAAATGAATTATAATTTCTTCTACACATGTTCTCATATATTTTGTTCATTGGCTGAGTACTTAATGTAAAGCAAACCGTACTATATGCAATGCAATGCATGACATACAATGTGAATAAGTCTTAAGAAATCAATATCATTTTATAGCGCATATCTATGTATATCTAAACCATAGATCAGAGCGTGGTATTTAATCTTGCTTGACACAATAAACAATCGTTCGTTCAGTGTGAAGAACAGATGTTAGGTGATTGTGTGCATTATTAACTCTTATTATCTACTTTGAATGAAAAATATTTTAAAACTTTAAAAGGTTATAGATAAACATACATTTTTTAATTTCATACTTTTTCATTGAATTTTTTTTGTGTTAAATATTTTTTATTTACAATGAAATACGTATCTTACTTGATATAATGTAATGTTTTAAAATATTTTTTAGCTCTTTGTTTTCTTAGCTTTTGTAAAAATGAAGATATTGATCAGGTAATAATTTAATCCTGCTTATTTAAATATTAATAAATATATTTTTATAAATTTTTTGTTACTAACTGGCAGAAGTATTGTTTAATAAATTTAAAAAATGGTATTAAGTCGAAATGATAAAAGAAAAAGAAAAGAAGGAGATTTGGTGGATCTTATGGAACCACTTTCAGAGTCTCCAAAAAGGTAAATAACATTTTAATATACCTAAAAGTAATTTACTATTTATTAGCTAATATACATCCTTTAGATAATGATATTAGTCATAAGTTATATAAATGTATACAAAATAATCACACTTTAGAAATGATTAAAAAAAATCATAAAGTTATTTTGTTTATTATGTATTTGTTACATATACATCGTTTATTATAGGACCAAAGTACATGCACAAAGAAAATTTGCACAAGGTGCAACAACAGTTTTTAATCCATCACATACTCCCATTAAGGATAAAGAAAAAAGTAAACCAACAGTTATAACAGAATTAATAACTCACAAGCGACCAAATACAGAAGATTTTTTAACATTTTTGTGCTTTAGAGGTTTTGAAACTTTCATTATGTTCAATTATATCTTATCTATTAGTGGTTAATTCATCTTTTTATGTAGGAACATCAATTTTACCTCCAAGTCTAAATTTTTTTAATGTTGGAAGTAAAAAAGAAAAGCCAGATCCTAAACCAGCACGTATAGCAACAGATAAAATTACATCTTCAACTAGTACATCCACTGAAAATCAAAAGCCAGATCCAAGTCAGAAAACTGTTACCAAAGTGAAGCCTGTTATTGCTGATAAAAAGAAAGTTCCAAATACAATACAAAAAAACATTACAACATTTAAAAGCACAACATCTACAGTACAAGCACTTAAAAAGAAGTATCAAGAACAGCGTCTTGCTAAACAAAGAATAAAGAATAAATTTAAAACATCATGTGTTATGAGAACAAGATCTTGTACAGAAAGAACGTTATTAAAATCTGTAAACAAGTTAGCACCCAGAAAATTTTTACCAAGAATGGAAACTAAGAGACTTGGTTTACGAAGTAGTGTACTAGCAGACAAAACAAAAAAAGCTCCACCAAAAGTTAAGTCTGTACCATCTAAACCAAAGAAAAAGGTTATATTGAAACAAAAGAACAGTGATACATCAAATTCAGATTCTACATCTGATGAAGAAGAGGAAGGACCTTCTGAAAAATCAGTACCACAGATGAAACGTATAGTCCAAAAAACTGTTCAGAAAAATATATGTACAAGAAGTAAATCTGAAATGAGAAGAATTACACGTTCTCATAGTGGTACAATTTCTCCAAAAAATCTTAGTAGAAGACCAACAAGAAAAACTAAAGAAGCAGCTGCAGTATATATGGAAATCCTTGGACGAAAACTTGTAAGCCCTGATTTAGAGAATGATGATAATGTTTCTATGGATAGTTTTCCAGAATTACCAAATACACGTAAAATTGTTCAAGCAGAAAGTGAAGTTAAAACTAAAGTTAAACAACCTGTTACAAAAACGACTACTAAGAATAAAGATGGTAAAATTACTGCTATCCAGAGTACATCAAATAAACGTTTAGATAAAACAAAAACTAATAAAATTTCTTTCAAAGGTAAAAGATTAATAAGGGTTCATAAGTATTGTGAAATTGACAGTGATGAAGAATCTGTGAGTTCTAATGGAACTAGTAACACAAGACCTGTTACAAGACGAAGTTTAGGAAAATTAAATAAACCTGTAAGTCGATATCTTAGATCTTCTACTAAGAATGTAACTGCAAGAATAGAGATTCAAAACAGTATAAATATTAAATCAAAATCTCAAGTTCAGAGTAATCTAAAATTTAATAAAGAAAAATTTGTAATGAAACGTAAACGAGAACAAAGTTCTAACAAATCATTACATGAAAAAGGCAATGGAATAAAGCAAAAAGAAATAAAAAATACAGCGGATGAAAGTACAGATTCTGACGAAGAAACGTTAGGAATGTTACTTAATAAATTAAAGAGAAAGAAAGATGATAATGTGCAAAAAGAAATTGCTAATAAAAATAACGATCATGGGATTGAAGATAAAAATGAACAGCCTCCAAATGAAAATTTTGGAAAAATGGATCTTTCAAAAATATCAGATGATGAAGAATCTTTTCGAGGATTTACAAAGAAAGCAATATCCAAAGTATTAAATTCTTGTCAAACACATGTTAATGTTAATCTCCTTGCCACGAAAAAAACTAATGATAAATTAGAAACAGTTACAACAGAAGATGGGCAAACTTCAAATGTAGTTAATGAAGGTATTAATGAGATAGATAAGGAATTATCAAATAATGAACTTTTATCAAATAAAAATTCTGCTTCAATGATGAACATCTCAGATAATCAGTATCTTCAGAAAATTGAAAAAGATAAATTAGAATTACCTAATTCGTTATCCCATGGGGTAGATTATGAAATATCAACAAACAATCCTGAAAAAGAATTTCATCACAAAACAGAAATTTCCTCCGCAAATGTTATTGATATGTCTTTATCAACACTACATGTAAGAAAAGAAAAAGTAAATATGTCAACTGAACAAATTGAAAAATGGTTGAATGAAAGTTCACTTGCTAAGGAAGAAAGTAAGTTAGAAATGGAAAATGTATCTACTTTTAAATATGATGTTTGTGAAAAAAAGGCTGATGTATCACATTTATCAATTTCAACAAAAATTCAACATTTGGTAAGACCAGTTAATGTCACTCTTTCTAAATTAGCAGAAAAGGCTAATGTAAAAGATCGTATGCATATATGTAATAAATATGCTCCTATTATAGCAGGAGAATTGCAATCTGATATAAAACAGCAAAATGACTTTTCTAATATTAATATTAATAAACATAATACAAATTTAAAAGATATTAATAAAGGGCGAAATATAAAGTCAAATAAAGATTCAAGTCCTGGAGAAGAAGGTGACCTTGCATCAAAATCTGATCCAAGTTTAATAGATAGTTCTAGTGAGAAAAAATTACCATTAGAAAAGAAAACTATATTCCAACCAAGGAAACCATTTTTACCGAAAGTTAAAGAACGTAAAACAGTAACACCTAATGCAAATGCATTTTCTCCAGAAAATGAAAGCAGTGTTTATGCATTTGAAAGTGATACAGAAGTCCCTGTTAATACTCCCTTTAGACGTAAAGTTCGAGAGCCTAATAAATTAAATGTGACTCTTAATCTATCTGAATCTGACATAAATAAAACTGAAAATAATGCAAATAAGCCTGAGAATAATACCAACAAATTTGATACTAATACAAAGAAATCTGAAAATAACACAAATAAGTTTGACAATAACACAAATAAATCTGAGAACAATAAATCTGAGAGTGAAACAAATAAAAATGTAGAAAAGATAATAAAAGATAATAATGAAGCTACAGCATTTAAGGAAATTTCCAACAATATTCCACCAAAAAATGAAACTGAGATAGTAGAGATAAAAAGTACATCTAATACAATATTAAATGTGAACAAATTTGAATTACCAAAAAATTTTGCAACTTTAGCTAATATACAAGTTCTACCATTAGATAAATTGACAACAACTTGGAGTAATGTAAATTGTAGTGCTTCAATAGCTGTACAAGTAAACCTTGATGATAATGCACAAACACAAGAACAAATGGGGCAAGCAGATGCAAATCAACAGAAAAGTACAGAAATATCTACTCAGACTGAGAGTAATAATGAAAATGATGATGAGAATGATGGTCAACTATTTTATATACCTTTACAAGCTGTCACAAGGAATGGACCAAATTTAGTCCAAGGACAACAATTGATTCAAGGAGTAGCTGTAAAACTTGGTACTGAAGGGCCAAATGGTCCTAATCAGAAAGTTCTTCTAAGAGCAAAATTAGTTACCAAACCTCCATCATCAATTGCACGTTGCCCTCCTGTAGGCACAGTTCAGCCTACAACTCGTACTCCACTTAACTCTACCCTTGTAACAACTGATCATTCAGTACCATCTACTTCTTCATCCACAGCATCAAATATTACTGTATCTAATTCTGAACTTCAATTATCTTCTCCAAATAAAAATGAAAACATAGTACAAACAACAAATAAACAAAATATTGGGACTACTCTAAATATAGGAATTGAAAAATTGCAGAAATCCCCAAAAACTTCTAGAGAAAGAAAAACCTCAATTGATTCAAATAAGAATGGAAAAAGGTAATGTAATTTTAATACAAAAGGTAATGTAATTTTAATACAAAAGGTAATACAATTGTTATTTGAAATATTGAATATTACTTTTGTCCTTTGTTAAACATATTCTTATGCATTTTTTAAATTTTAGATGTCAAATCAAAACAAAACAAAAAAGTTCTGAAATTTATTCCCCCACTAATAATGTAACATTTCCAAGTGCAAAAGATGAAAATAATGAGGCACGTTTAGTTGAAGCTCCAACATTTCATCCTAGTGAAAAAGATTTTCAAGACCCTTTAGAATATATAGACAAAATAAGACCAATTGCAGAGAAATTTGGAATATGTAGAGTTGTACCACCACCTAATTTTAAAGTAAAGTCTAATCAAAAAATTTTTACAAAATTAAATGCTTATATTCGTAAAATATGAGTACATCTTTTTCTCTTTCAGCCGGAATGCAAAGTGTCAGATGATATGCGATTTACTGCTTACAATCAGTATGTACATCGTATGTTACATAGATGGGGTCCCAATGTGAAAGAAATGATGGCTATAAAAAAATATTTAGCTACACAAAGCATAACATTAACACATCCACCTTGGGTAGAATTTTTTTCTATTTTATTTTTTTCTTTTTTTTTGCTATATTTGATTTTTTCTTTCTTTCTTTCATACTTATTACTATCTCTAATGTTCTCCTCCTACAGATTGGTGGTATGGAAGTTGATTTACCTCATTTATATCAAACAGTTCAAAGTTTAGGTGGATTAAAAGAAGTTATTGAAAAGAAAAAATGGCAGAAAGTAGCTGATGGAATGAAAATACCAAAATCTGCCCAAGATCGGGTAACCAAATTAGATGACATCTATTGTAAATATTTATTACCATATGATACATTATCTCCAGGTATTTGTAAATAAATGTAAAACGTATAATAGCATAAAAATCCATATAATTTTTGAAAGTTATTTATTAATAAAATAATCTACTTAGAGGAACGAGGCAAGTTATTTGATGAGGTTGAATCTGAATGGATGAAAAGAGAAAGTAGAGCTTTACAAAGGCAAAATGCACCAATAAGTGAAAACGAAGAAGATGAAGATGATGATAGCTCTGAAGAAATTGAGGAATGTATTGTGAAAGTAAGAGTCCCAAAATCATACTTATATTTATATATTTTTCAGTTCTTTTTAATTTATAGAAAATACACGATTTTACAGGGTCGAAACATGCCATTAAATGCTTTTTACCGTATTGCACGAAATACACAACGTATGTGGTTTGGTGAAAATCAGCGATCTGGAAACGAAACTGAAGGTGCTTCTGCAGATGAGGTTGAAAATGCGTTCTGGAAACATGTTGCAGAAAGAAAACGACATGTTTGTGTACATGCTGCGAGCATTGATTCAAGTGGACGCGGTTTTGGATTTTCTGTTGCTAAAAATAGTCCATTTGCAAGACATCCATGGAATCTTAAAGTACTTACTAATAATGCTGGATCAGTGCTAAGAGCTTTAGGTCCTATAATGGGTATGGAAACATTTTTTTAATTTCTATAAGCTAAACCAATTATAATCGTCAGTTGATGTTTCTTTCTTTTTCCTTGTTCTTTTTTTTTTTTACGAACAATTTAATTTTATTTATAGGCGTGACAGTACCAACACTTCATGTCGGCATGTTATTTAGCGCATGTTGTTGGTATCGCGATCCTCACGGTCTTCCTTGGATAGAATATTTACATACTGGTGCTAAAAAAATTTGGTATGGTATACCAGATGAACATAACAACAATTTTAGAGAGGCTCTTTCAAAAATGGTTCCACGATACTGTAAAAATAAAACTATATGGCTACCATCAGATACAGCAATGGTTCCTCCAGAATTATTAGTTAGTAATGGAGTATCATTATGTCAAACTGTACAAGAACCAGGACAGTTTATAATTGTATTTCCTAAAGCATTTACATCAAGCATATGCACTGGTTATGTAGTATCTGAAAGCGTTTATTTTGCACAACCATCTTGGTTAGAAACTGCAGAACAAGTATTTAAAGTAAATGAATATTTTTCTATTCTGCATGAATTATTTTATGAATTTCATAATATGATAAAATAATTTTAAATAATTATTTTAGGATATACAAGATAGCTGTGAACCATCAATCTTTTCATTTGAAAGATTATTATTTAATATTATTAATGATTCTAGATCTCATATAGAAGTATTAAAACAGGTAATTACTAAAGCTACTATTAATAATATAAACTTCATAAAAAATAAAAAATAATTACATTTGCAGATTTTACCAAGTGTAATTAAAATTCGTGAAAAAGAAATAAATTATCGTAAACAGTTAGAATTAGTGGGTCTTACAAATACAGAAAGATTACCTTTACCAGATAGTGGAAAACGAAAAAAGGGGAAAAAAGTAAAAGAAGATGATGGTGACTTTGAATGTGAAACTTGCAGAGCTAATTTATTTGTCTCATTAGTTAATAATTCACAAGATGAAAGTGTTTACTGTTTATCACATGCATTGCAATTATTTAATAGAAAGAAACAAATTTTAAAACATACTACTCTAATGTATACATATAATGAGGTAAATATATTCCTTTCTATTCTTTTTTGTTTTACTAAAAGAAAATTCACTTAGGTCTTTTACAAATGATTTTATTTGAAATAAATTTTTATTTTTTAAATAGGAGGAAATAAATGACTTGATTCATAAACTAGAAGAAAAAATTGAAGCCAAATCTAAAAAGACTAATCAAATCAAACAAACAAAGTAATAAGTCTACAAAGTTATTTATTAAATTATGTAGGTAATAATTATTTATTAATCTATTTCAAAGTAATTATGCAAATCTATTACATATATGTCATATTTATTCCTTTTGTCAAAACAATATAATTGTATATAAAAAGTAAGTTTGTTTGACGAATTTACGGCGGATCAACTTAAAATATTTAAAAGAAATATCTTTATGCACTTGTAATAAAACTCGTAATTTTCGAAATGAAAGAATTAATTTTAGTATATGTAAATCGTACTTTTAAGTACGATATTTAAATATATATTTTCTTGCATCTTATCCTCGTATACCATAATGATAAATATAAGATATACGAATATATATACTATGTTTCAATAGTCTGCAGAATTATAGAAATATAATCTTATCAAATATTTCTTACAATAGGTAAATTCTATAACACTTATTATTTAAGAACTAAATAAATAATAACATAATAGCGTACTTATGTATGCAAAATTTATTATGATTACTTTAAGATCATAAAATAAAAATTATACCATTCTCAATATGAGAACATACATATTAAATAAATTTCTTTGACAAATTACATCATTAATATTATTATAGAAATCAACATATATACTATAAGATCAAATAAATATCACATAATGAAAAATGCTTTAAGAATTTATAATTAATTTCTATAATATTACAATTAAATATACAAAAATGATTTATTTGTATAAAAAATGATTAATAGTACTTTTTTACGTGTATATTTATGTATGTTACAAAAGGATGGTGTTGACCAAAAAAAATTTTGACATAAAAATTGATTGAGAAATTTTTACTGAAATCTGGTCTTTCACCGCAATTAATAATAATTTATGAAATGTGCATGGTTCAATATTGATTATCTATTATTATGCTATGTGTCTATAATTAAGCTTTCTGGAAATTTTGCTGCTTAGATACAATAGTATATTTCATAAATACAATCAACTGAAAAAATATTACTAAACAGTAAAAGATAATTATGCTTTGTAGTTAAGGAATTAATAACACAGACTATAAATAAATGATAGACTGCATAGCCTTATGTTAGGTTATAAGATAGGTATACACTATGAAGATCATATTGCAACAAGAAAGTACGATAAAATAGTTATAATACTGCTGCTGAAAAAGATTCACTGCAAAATCATAATAATACAAAAACTAAGCTTATCAAGATACTTTGTGTTCACCCTTCAAAACAACAAATTACAAATTGGTTTAGTAATTTAATGATGTAATTGCAAAGTATAGAGTTGTAGGAGGAGATATTGTCCCTATAGCTTGTTCATTGTTATATGTTCCTGAGAATGATATAAGATTTGTATCACCACAGAGTCTTATTTTATCAATATCGAAATCACACATTGCACACAATATGTTTGTAAATACTATAGCAGAGATAGCTTTGCTACAGCTCAAATGTATTATGTCCATATTGATGAAATGGATTGAACTATTGAAGATGAATTCCTATATGTACAAATCAGATTTAATGAAAATACGATTCTTTGTTTTTTCAAAGATAGAATATAATAGATGAAGTAATAATGCTGGTTTTAAATAACTGCAACTATTTTTATTCACTGGAACCTACTTAAGAAATTTAATCTCATACTAGCATAGTAAGCATCACTGCTTACTTAAATTTAGAAGATTATGTAAATAACAAAATATGTAAGCATTCTGCTTAAAATATATTCTAAAGGGTATTTATTTTGAAAATTGATTTGTCATCAGCTTCTATGACTTGGAATCATCACTCTAGCCAACAGATTATATTTTTATACTGAGTTATTAAACAAGCTGGCTTTTCTAAAATGACAAATCTGACAATAATAGTTGACATTATTGCAGAAATGTATTATATTGATATTGATTACATTGTATCATATGGTATTTCTGCTGACCAGTTTAAGGTTATTAATACAGTTAGGTATGGAAATTTACAGAAATGTATTTTCCTCAATTAATAGACTATTTGTAAACCTAAGAGCTTATGCAGATGTTGCATATATCTGTGTATTAATTAAAACAAAACTTATTAAGAATGCATCACAGAATATAGAGAGTAAATTGCTAGTATGTAATCAAAAAGAACATAAAAGGTCATAGTGAATGATATATAGGGACATAGCTCCTTAAACGCTATGTCAAAATTGGACAACGTGTAAGTTGTTTATATAGACGAAAAATAGACTGAGTCTAAGTTGTGCATATATAAAGATAACTGTTGAGTTGGCTTGACAGCAATCTGTTAAGAAATAAGGTGTCACAGAAATGAGATTGCTAGGCAGGCATCCAGAGAAGTTGATACTGCAAATCGGGAATGTGTGGTTTGACAATTGCTTAAAGCTGAATAAATCAAATTAGAAATCTATTTGATGATGCTACAAAGGTACTTATTGACTTCATGATTCTCAAGGACAACATAAGTGCTGGGTGAAAAGTTTCTATGAAAATCAAGATTGCTACTCAGCAAAACTCAATGCAGGTCCCATTAGCCAGCATGTTAGGCACTGCCACTAGCATTTCTATATTATTTAAGAAAATAGATAACCCAATGCAAATTGCATTTGCTCATTGGTAAATAAATGAATGTAACAAGTATATGAATTAAAACACCGTATGTTATCAAGGCACAGTGTTAATTTACGAGGAGGCAATATTGAAAAGGAAGATCTTGATCTTCATCATAGTGGACTTGCTAAAGGAGAACCACCTAACAATTAAAGTCAATATAAATGAGAAGAAAAATGTGTTCTACTTTTTGGTATGATACATAACATTATTTAATTTACTACTAACGTCTAATTAAATTCCATAATCCTGTTTGACATTATTTATATTGTGTTTATATGCTGCATGTTATTATGTAAATTTTTATTTTAATTTTTAACTTTGCTAATGCTAATCAATGTTGCATTTTTTATTTACCTTATGATGAAAAGTATATCAGACACAAGAAACAGCAGCTTATTTAAATTGTTCCAGTAGTGAGAGATAATATTACAAAAACAAAAACAAATGTATGATAATAGACAAATAAAATAAAAGTAAATGATAATTATAAAGTAAATTTTTTAAATCTTTTACTACATATTTTGTTTGTCCTTTTTATAGTTTTAAGTGTTAAAATAGAAACTTATAACTGTTCAATGGAATGATATAAAAAAAATTAATTTAATGGAAATAATTATGCAATTATCAATTATATCTTTAAATTAAGATATTTGTGATAATTATTAACATTTTCATTAAAAGTTAAAAAGGTTGTAGAATTAATAATTAAATTCATATATAAAAATATGTATAAGATGGAGTAAATGCTACATAAACATGGCATGACTTTTCAGAATAAATAAATCTTATATCATTGCAGACCAATATCAAAGTTTAAACTTTACTGCTCTCTACGTTGCAATATATTAGACAATATTTGAGTAGAGTTCTCACCAAATTTGACTGTATCATCTTCATCTGAACTGAATTCTCCATTTAAAAGATTTGTCAATGAAGTCGATTTTTGAGTTAACAAAGGCAAATTTGTATCAACTCCTTCATCATTTTTTAAATTATTATTTGAAAGAGAATTTGCTTGTAATTCCAGATTTTCAGCTTTTTTGTTCCTATTTGATAATATTTTTTGGATGGTATGAATTATGATTCCACAAAGGCACATTAATAATCCTATAAAGTTGAGACCACTCATTTCATCACCTTTCCATTCTACAGCCAAAATTAAGATACATATTTCCTAAAAAGGATTTACAAATATATTTTATACAAATAAAATTAGTTAATTAATTAATATTAGATAAAATCATATAATATTAATATTATATAACTTAACGTAATATATATTTTAATTTACCTTAATTATGCCAATAATTGAAAGTGTAAGACTAGAAGTGTATGTAATAACTAAAAACTCCATAACTTCCATATGAAAAGCTACAATAGCACTCCCAAATATAACAGTTGTAGTCATTGCAATTGCCTGAACATCATTCCAATCGGTATTTTTAAAATTAATATACAGACTAGGGCCTAAAAATAATATATATTTTCTGACCTTTTCATTTAAAAATATTATAACAAAAAATAGTTAAATATTTTACATATATATACCTTCAAACCACATCATCACTGGTATAATAGGTAATAACATCCATAACTGCATATAGTACATCATATCAATTGGACTTTTCATTCCAAGTTTAGATTTTTGCATAATTAATTGTGTCATAGTCCATCGAATACCACTTGAAAATGATGCTAAGAGGCAAATAACAAATCCAAAAATTCCAAATTGTGTCGATTTATAGGTAAACATAAATAAGCCTCCTGATATCATTACTACAATACATGTTAATGACCAAGACTATAACAAAATTATTTCTTTAATGTATCATATTTTAAATATTCATATAAAAAGTTAATATTATTACCTTTTTCTCTAATTTCAAGAAAAGAGCAAAACCAAGAATAAAGACAACAGAAGTTGATTTTGTCATAGTATATCTAAATAATATAATCCATTAACATTATTATATAAAAATAAGTATATTTCATTTTATTCTCAGTGCAAGCTAGTAAAATACATACAGTGACATAGTAATTAATGAAATTGCCCAATTTGATAGACCAACATCAAGACCACTAGCTATGCTAACTGGCATAACCATTGCTATTATATTTTGCAAAGGAAGTTTTAATTGCTGTTGTTTTTTCCAACATGTTTTGATACATCTTATTAAAGCAGATAATAAAAATTTTATTAATAAATGACATATTACCACAATAAGTGGAAAATGAAATCCCTAAAAAATATATATATATTTAAAATAAAAACAAATAACAAATTTTTATAAATTATAAATTTTTGTACTTACATATGTGTTATAAAGCCATTTTAGATAAAATGTTAAACCCACAGATGAGACGAAGTAACAAAGAATTAATATGATAGTTTGAGAAGCTTTTTTCCAAAGAGGTATTTCTTTCTTTGATACATTTAAAAATTCTTGTACAGGTTGTACAAAATAATCTGATGTATCATCTGTATCTTTTGCAATTTGATATTTTACATGTGATCTTGTCATATTTTAAGAAAAAATATTCTGTAAGTATAAGTTTATAATATTAATTGTAATACTATATACATATTTTTGAGAGTAAAATAATAATAAATTCATTTACTACATAGTGCATAATGGAATAAATAAACTACATAATAGTTAAACATAAGAAAAAATTAATAATATTAGCATTTAAAAAGTACTATTCCTATTTATTGTTCATATTTTGTGTTAGTTTCAGTAACATTTAAGTATTAATTATTATTATTATTATTATTATTATTATTATTATTATTATCATCATCATCATCATCATTATCATTATTATTATTATGTATGTAATAATATTTATGTATAATTCAATAATATTTTTTGATAAAAATTTATGATTTATGATAACATTATGTAATGTAGCAAAATATAATTAAATATTGTTATAAATATGTTAAACATACCTTATTATAGTTTATTAAATGCATAAAAAGTAGTTATAAATTGCTGTATGTTTATTGTTAAACATCTGTTATCAAATTATATGTTCAATGATAGGAACAATCGTACAACGATGAAAACAGAATTTTCAGATTCATTCTGTAAATTCATAACATGTAGATTCTTGTCAATTTACATGTATTCACAATCACGAATGAGAATATTGAAAAGAAAAAGAAATTAAAATACATATCGTTATCACTTACTTCGATGTGACATACGACATAAACGTGAAGCCATGTATAAACATAACCTAAAAATTACAGTAGAAAGACAGAAGCGTAGTACACTGCAATTAGATAAATATTATTTTTTAAATTTTCTTATCAGTCTTAAATTTTCTGCAGTGATAAGCTTATTTGCAGAACTGTTTAAACTTTCATTAAAGTTTTCCTAAAATCTTCGATATTCAAGTAAATACAAGTACTTAAAACAATTTTATTTTTAAATAATTAAATGTTTAATTATTACGTTATTGAAGAAATTGAAATTAATTTTAATTTTCTAAAAATTAAATTCAATTATAGTATTAGATTATATAAATATGGATTAAAAAATAGAATCGAAATATATACATTGTATTAAATTAATTGTTATAAATAATAACAAATGATATAAATATTGTTTTTTGTTTAACACTTCTAACAAAAATATAGAAAGTTATTAACTATATTTTATTTTAGAGTATATTTACACTGAGTAATAACATCAAATAAAAAATTGAAGTATAAATATTTATATTAAATGTTATTTTATGTAAAATGCAATTCTTTTTGAAATTACTTCAACTTGATTTACTCAGTGTAAATTAAATGTACATATATAGCTACTTTTTATTTTATAAAATATATTTTAGAAAATTAGCAAATAAAATTATTTACTAATTAAATGCAGATTACATACTTTATATATATTACATTCACTTATCAGAATAAAATATACTTAATAATTCTACTATGATTTGAAGACAAACCCTAAATTTAAAATATGAGACATAAAGATTCCAAACATGTAAATCAAAAATATTTCAAAGAAATATATTAGTATATTATTGATGATATTTTTTTATCTATGCTATTTAATTGGATTGTCTTCAATTCATGTTATTATATTCTAACGAAACTTTATCGTATACATTAATTCATGAATACACATATACAGGATTATTAGAAAAACAGTATATTACAGATGACCTAAATGTAATCAATTGCATATTTTTATTACACATATATAATTAGTCGCTTCTTATTCATATGTTATCTACGGTCACTGCGCCCACCATTTCTGTATCCCCCACGACCACGAGAATTAGTTTTTGTTGTAACAGTTGTTTTCGCAGTTGAATCACCAGAATATCTTGCAGATCCTCCTGGGAGTCCTGAAGTATTACCACTATTTCCACCACTACTACTATTATTACTATTTCCACTCTTTGCTGTTGTAGAACTACCAGATGTACCACTAGTAGGTGTTGTTGAATTACTCTGAATTGCCTACAATAAGACAAATTAATTTTACTATTAATAAAAGTACAAAAAGTAATTAATTATTTATAGATCAAAAAATAAATGTATTATCAACATTTAATTCAAAGATATGAATAAATTTGACAATAACATACTAATGGTTGCCTTCCAGGTTGACCAGCAATATTATTTGTGTTTCCATTGTTAGTAATGCTATTATTAACATTACTGCCAGGTGGACCAGATCCACTTTGATTAATCAGTTGTTGTGCTAAAGCAGGATTTGGTTCACTCATGTTCAATTGTTCATTTATTACCATACAAAATTCTCCGATTTTTTGTATGTCCCCATTTTTTCCTGAATATAATGTTAAACATTGTCTCCAAACAGATGCATAACCTTTTGTTAATCTTACAATGTCACCTGGAACTAGAAGCTGACCAGGTTCGTCCCAAATTGAAACATTCATGCATGCTGTACTGTCTGCCACTTTAAACGTTCGAACTTCGCGGTTTTCTTTGGTGATAGTAGGATGACCAACTTCCAGAACAATAAACACTACGTTAATGTTTTTCTGACCCGGCCGTATGTCTTTTATCAGTACGTATTCCATTGTTTTAACAATTAATATACACTTTACACTAGCACTCTGTACGAACAATCACCTGTACGTGTATATCTGAAAATACGTCAGATGTATGTTCTTACTTTACGTATTGCTTAATTTAACTTCCCTATTATCTTCAATATGCGTCCGATATTGTATATTACATCAATTTTTTCTACCAGTACTTAGAATAACACTAATGAATGTCTAAAATATTTGATTGTGTAAAGTAAGAAAGAAGTTCATTAAAAAGGTAATACGGGTGTTATGCTGTTGGTAGCTGGTAGAGTGAATGTCGGCCATCTTATTTTAGTACGTCATACGGACACTAGCTTCGCTACTGTATTACAATATGCGCGTCATCGAAATAGCTGGTTGTAACATGAGTGTTACTGTTATTACTACGTAGGGTAAAACTGAACATGTATTTGAAATACATATGTGTATTATACGTTTTTATGAGCACATATGATTATGTATATACACAACTTGTGTACATGCGTATTTGCATATAGAATTTACACATATGTTAAGTGTATGCATTTAGTCTATTTATTAAAATAAAAAAAAACTTTCCTATTATACAAAGTATACATCTTTTTGTTACGTATAAAAATTATATTTCAATGTTTTTTGTTGTATTGATTATATGTTATATAAATGTAGCAGAGTCTTTTTAAAAATTGTAAACAAATAAAAATTAAATTACATATTTCTAATTTAACATTATACAAAATATAGTTTAGTCGTAGTAAACTTACAAAGTTCAACATAATAAACGATTTAAAATCTATTCTTTGAAATTTGTCTTGTTAGTTGGGTAAACGTATTCGACTACCGCGAAACTTGTGTTATAATTATTAATTATTCAAAGAATACAAATATTGACGAAATTTCTCTCATATTTTAATGCCTACTAATGTCGATGAAAGTACATAATCATAAGTAATGATACACAACACTTTATTATTTTGATAAATTGGTGCAAGAGCAAAATAATGTCAACATTACGCTTTTAGATAATGGACGTGGACGAATCTTTAGATCCAAAAGAATTGAAAATTACTCTCGAAACGTATAAAAAATTGGCAAATGATTTTGCAAATCATGACACGATCTTGAAGGTAAGAAACATTTTGAAACTTATTTATGCTTTTTCTTAATAACAATTTTTTAATTGTAGGATAAAACAGTTTTGTCATATGTAGCATACGTTTTAGAAATACCCGATTTAGAGATTGTTAATTTGAGTTTAGATATTCTGGAATTATTTGTTAAAAATGTTGATAATTATGTACATATAACCTCTACTTTTGGAGTTCGCGAAGCCTTAGATGCAATTATAAATAAGTATAATGTAGATGAACCAAAGATCTCTAAACGAGCACAATGTATAAAAGATGATATAGAAAGAATGAAACCACCAATATATAATTTGCGAAGTAGATGTCGAAGAGTTATAGAGCCTAAAAAGTTAAAAACTCATGTAATCGTGTTACATATTCAAGGTTTATTACCGGTAAATATAAATAATATATGTGTTGGGCATACTAAATAAATGTTTGTTTATTTAATATCTGATAGTAAATTATATATAAAATAGGAAACTCGTGCAGAATTAGAGGCAATACTAATAAGAATCAATGGATTAGTTTCTCTTGTTGTTGATGTAGAACATCAGCGTGTTACAATGCGTACTTTAAGTTATGTCACTGCAAAACAAATTGCAGAAGCTATTCACAAAAATTCAGAGAATATGGAAGCAAGATTAGTAACAAGAAACAAATTCAATCAAGAATATCTTGTTAAGTTGGTAAATATTTACATGTGGTGAATTAAAAAATTTTATAAATAAAGCAACTTGTGATATTTTATTAATAATATATATTACTATGTAAAGATTCATACAGGAAATAATGGAGATACAGAAGATATGCCAGATTACTTACCTGAAGAAGATGAACAAGAAGATGGAAAAGAAGGAGTTGTATCATTACTGACCGGGTTAAGACAAAGTGCTTCATCATTGTATAAATCAACTGCTGAATTTTTGCACAATTCATTTTACTGGTAAACTTATAAGATTTAGTGTATTATATATTATTTTTTATTCTATTATTAATGAACAATTTAATAAAAGTAAAAAATGTTTGAATTTGTATTTTTTACCAAAAAGAGTTTTACTAAATTCTCTTTAAACAATTTTAATCAATTTTTCTTATTTACTTTGTTATTAAATTTGAAGTTATTTACTTTGGTTTAAACTTAATATTGTATTTAAATATTATAATATTTAAGAAACACTGCATGTATATTAAGAAATATAGATAAATTTAGATTTCTTATTATATTTGATAATGCTGAAAATCTGATGTCCATACTTAATGTTTGTTTCTCATTAAACTGTATATATGTAATTTATTAAAATTTATAAACAAGTAAAAAGTGATAAAAATATATAAAAATTGCAGTATCTAAACAGACTTTTACATATTCAATAATAGAATAAAAAAAAAGTTACAATTACCAACTCCATAAGCATAAAGCGATTTATTCAAATAAATGTTCTATGCTAAATGTATATTAAAGTAGTATTAATATTACAGAAATAAATTTATTTTAAATTATGTTAAGTATATATTTCTTGAATTATTATTATAAGCAAGTAACTAAATATTTCAAATATTTAATTGTTTGTATGTATTTATAACAATATTTCTTGCTAGTAAGATTTTTTTACCATAATAATGTGTATACTTTGTTACTAAAAGTAGGCTGTGCAAATATTTATTGTATTTTAGTAAGTTAATATACTTATATGTAAACTACAATCATAATATATATTATCAATTTTCTTTATACTCAATTACTTTTTAATTAAATAAAAGATTTAAATAATGTATTTCGTTACTATATATTAGTGAATATAAATGATTAATACCTCTATAATCTATTAAAAGGTAATTTAATTTTGTTCTAGTAAGACCAAGATAATGATCAATGTGAACAATATTGTCGAGGTTTGTAATTGAAATAAATATAATAATTATTGTAAATCAACTTTATTTGTTTAGAACACAAATTTTGTGTACTGCTTCTATTATTAAAGAATAATAGAACTAGTCAGTTTAGCTGCCACTGCACAAGAAGGAACAATTTATGCAACTACTCGCATAAATATAATAGATACAATATGTATGATTATTATAAAGTACATCTTTGTATATCTTATTAATTACTTTGTCCAAATGAGCACATCAAAATATTATACCATATCTTAGTTGCTATTTTCTTAAGTTTGTATTGTATTGTCTATATTTACAATGTATAGTAATTGTCATTAAGGCAATTTGAGTTTCAAAGCAGGTACAATAGATGGATGCAGAACAGTACTTTGGACAATTGAGTTAACAATATCGTCTAAATTTGCACGTTATTTATGATACTTATTGTTAGTAATTTGAAAGTATGAGTATGACTTTTACATACAGTCCAATACTATTGTTGAGTTTCAGTTTGAAACTCAGACAACCTGCACTGCTTTAACTATATTATAATACTACTTATGCTAATTATTTTTTTAAACATAGTCATTAAATTAGATTGTTTTCATTTTTTAACTGAGAAATGAAACAATAAAATTTGTTATAAAAGTTCTTTAATGTACTCTGTAGTAAGATTACTGGTAAAAATTTTAGTGCATCAAAAATATTTAATGACTTTGTTACAATAAAATAGTCTTAACACAATATCTCATATTTCTTGAAATTTAATTTTATCAGAATAGCAGAATATTCATTGAAATGAAAAATTATTGTACTGGTATAATTTTATTTTCAATTGCAAATTTTAGTTGCTTTGTATTGCACATGACAATTAAATTTTTTTTTATTTTACTTTAATAATCATTATTTGGTGTATTTTATGAAAATTGCCATAGGCACTTATGTTGTAAAATTTATTTAATAATTGTCATTCCATTATATATTTTCTACATCATTTTTGAAAGTATATTTTCCTAATGCAACATTTATTATTTTACTTCATTGTATTTATATACAAATCTCTTTGTAAATATCATGTAATATATGAATTTACTGTTTCTTCTAATTGGTCTCTACACTATGGTAGATTTCATTTATACATACGAATTAATGAAATCAACAACTAATGTGGCATTTATTGTAGGAATGATTGATTCAACACTAATTGAATATTTTTTTATTAGTAATATGAAATAAATGCAATATATGATTGGTAATAAATTTATATTTAGCTGAATATTCTATGTTTATTAAAAAGAACTATAAAAAATAAGTAAAAGATAATGGAATGAATTTTTTAAAGTAATGATTTTTTTCTCTTTCATACGAAAGCATGAGGTCCATATATTTACAAATAATACTATATAGTAACATGTTACTAAACATGTTTTCGTAAATTTTCATCTCTGCTGAAAATATCATCAACCTACATTTCATATTTTTCCTAGAAAAAGTAGTTATTTATTTGAATATTCGTTTTGCAAATTAGCGTAATGTAAATTATTATCATAAATAATGATAGAAGATACACTTTCATTAAATTAATTCAATTACTGAACATGGATAATAAATTTTAAGAAAAGTAATTTAAATTTTAGTTCTGTTTTAGAATGTAATTCCATAAATTTTTTTCAACAACTGTCTAATATTTTCGTAATATTAATGTAATATTTCATTGATAAATAATGCATAAAATTAATGTACATATATATCTAACATATATCTTAAATCGATAAATATCTACAATATTTAACACAGGATAAGAGCATACGCTACAAAAATGCACTGGCTGTTAGGTACTTACAATATATCACTCGTAAATGAGATATAAAAATCCTGTTGATCTATACGCTACTTTCTATTTTTAAATTTGCACCTACTGGTTGAGATGCAATTGTAATCTCACTGACTTCATCTGTTTCTGATTGACTTGATGTATCAGAAACATCATCTATTTCTTTCCTCTGAATAAAAACAAAAACATTATATACATATCATAAACTATTAAATAAAATAAAAATTATTTTAATTTACCTTATGAGAATAATGAATACTACGAAATACTCTTTGCACATCGGGATTACTTTCTAATGTAGAGGATTGACTGGACGGAGGATGTGAATATTCAGAAGTATTTTCCTCATCTGAAGCTAATACCCCTTCTATTCGTACTGTTGCATGTTTAAATCTTCTTAATCTACATCCAGGACCAATTGGTCTCCTTGCAATACTTTAAAATAAATTTATTAAATTAGATCAATAAATTAATCTAATCTTTATAACTTTTGTTAAAAATAATACCTTCTTCTTCTAAGAGAATAATTATATGTATAACTTGGATCTTCGCCTTCTTCATCTGACCAGCTTTCTTCACATGCATCATCTTCATGATCGCATAGAGTATCCATACTTTCAGAGCATGGTCGGGTTTTAATTTCCGATTGTTCTTGTGGTGTATTAGTACCGTTCGCAGTAATTCCACAGAAATGACCAGACAATTTTACAGATTCTTCTTTACCTCTGAAATTGATTATTATCTGTTATTTTTAATCATTATGATTTAATATTACATGTCCATATATATATATATAAAATATGTTTTACCTGTGTTGCATCACGTCGTCACAATTTCCATTATCTATGGGAGAAATAAGACGATTGGCATTAATAATTTCACTAACTTTTCGGCCAAGTGTCTCTAAATTATCATCATCACTACAATCCTTTAGACGTTCATTTCCATTTGCACGATTTTCATTTGAAGGTTCAGGACTGGAGCAAGGACTAGATTGCATTCTATAATGAGCTTCAGATAAAATTGAGTTTCCATTTAAACATTCCGATGTTTGTTTATTTAATGAGTGTTTATTAAGGCTATTTACAGAAAGCTTTTCTGTTGATGAAATTGTTGTATGTCCAACGGGATTAAAATCAGTTTCGTTGATATCCATTATATCTGTTTGTGTTTGATTATCAACAAATCGTGCACATACTTCTGTGCTCTAAAAAAAAGAAAAAACCATAAAAATAAATACAAACAATAATTAACTATATATCATGACATTAAACACACACCTTCCTCTCACGATGAGGGCTCGAACGTGGGCTAGAGTTTACACCACAGCCAGATCCTACTCTACGGTGCCTATATTTGCGTTGTTTAAAGCTATTATTAGGGGCTAAAACTGTTTCCGGTTGGTTAGATTCATTTAGTTGGGTATACATAGTTGCTTTTACAGGACTTTGTGGACAATTTGTTGGAGATGGTGGTGTTGTTGGAGTAGATGATGTTGAAAATTGAGGATTACGTCTACGATGAAGTCTTTCTTGAGCTTTTAAAAGGGGGTGCACAAGACGTTTCTTACATTGCTTATACCCATTTTGTTGTTCTCGTCTGAAAGATAAAAAACAAAATAATAATTATATATCATTAATCACTTCACTTTTTAGTCTATTACTTACTTAATAACATCTCGTTCACGCTGTTCCAACTGTAATAAAACAGCGCTTAATTCTAAGTACAAATTATTGGTACGTTCAAGTTTACGTTCATAATGTTCTCGAATATCTTGAGCATGTCTTAATTCATCCTCACGTCGTCGAATGAGATCAGCTTCAAATCTTGGACTGCTACAACTATTTGTTTGCATTTGTTTCATGTGATCCCTAATTTCTTTTTTCCAAGATTGCTGTAATTATAAAAAGTATGAAATATTTTAATGTTTAAGTATCTTCTATCCTTTATCTTCAAAATTCGTTATTTTACCTGCGTCTTAAAGTAATCATCCGGTTTTGTACATAGTACTTCAACTGCTGCAATACCAAGGTGAATTTCAATATGCTTAAAGGAAGGTCTGTTACGTGGTTTTGCAGCCCAACATTGTTTTACAAGTAACCTATAACCTTCTGGACAACTTGCAGGAATCGGTAAATGAAGAGAATTATTGCCCACCCCCCAGATAATTGCAGAAGAATCCACGTCTTTATAAGGTATTTCTCCACTTAAAAGTTCCCATAATACCACACCATAGGACCATATATCTACTTTTTCAGAACAAGGTTCGTTTCGGATGATTTCTGGAGCCATCCAGGCAACTGTACCAGCAAAGCTCATTCTTGTACTAATTTCATTCCATTCTCTACTAGTCCCAAAATCACTAATTTTCACAACTTCTCCTTGTCCTATTAATACACTGAAACCATAGACAATATTTAAAAGATGTATGCATATGTAGGTATATTTATTGCATTAAGTAAATAAATGTATAAGTTTCAAAATATATATAAATTTTATAATAAATTGAATAACATACTTTGGACTTTTAAGATCTCTATGTATAATTTTATGTGCATGAAGATAGGCCATTCCAGCAGCAATTTGTTTTGACCATGATACTAATCTAGGAGGTGGAACTGGCTCTCCAGCTCTAAGAAGGTCATATAATGGTCCATATGGACAAAATTCCATTATAATACAGTAACATGGTGCTTGTGTACAAACACCTCTGAAAGAATATAGAAATTTTTACTTTTATGTCATTTTATATACATATAATACAGTTTGAAACTTACTTAAATTGTACAATATTTGGATGATTCAACTTTCTTAAGTGTCGTATATCGGTTTCACGCGGCTCTCGCACCTTTTTTACAGCTACAACTTCTTTATTCAATTTACCACTAAATACTGCTCCTTGAGCTCCAGATCCAAGCCACTGAAGCTCACTAATTGATTCAAATGGTATTTCCCAATCATCCGCTAAAATAATTTTTTGTAATTTTATAAATAATATTATAAAGAATATAATATTTATTTTAGATAAAGAACTTAATATTAAATGTAAGTGATCACTTACTTTGATGTCCTTTAATTTTTTCATTTACAGCTGCTTTTGAAAGCATAGTCCAAACTGGACGCATACAACCTAATATACCCTCCACCCAGCTTGATCTCTGTGCATCTAAAGTTCCAGAACCTGGAGTGCATTTTGTTGCAATTTCACTAGAGTTACTATTGCTTTCTGAATTGCTATGATTGTTATTAGGCAATTGAGCATCACGTGGATCAGTGATAATAGGACCTCCTGCAATTCCACTCAACTGACCTAATTCTTCTTGAATACATAACATGCTAAAATAAATAATTAAAGATATTGAAAAACTTAATCTTTAAGCTCAAACATTATAAAAGAGATATAGAAGAATATTTTTCTCTTTTTCATTATCCAACATTCAAAGACATTAAAGATAATATTATGATAATTACTATTTTACTTTTGTTCAATAAGTATCATGTAGCAAATGCAAGATATGTAATAAAACAGTTACGAGGATACATTATATTGTTTAGAAATATTAAATATTAGAAATTATACCGAATTATTAATAAAAACTATGTTTTGTAAACTTTTTGAAAGTTATTAACTTAATCTTGAATGAAACTTTTAAGATTATATACAACTGTTTTATGCATAAGCAAAAGAATAATATGAAAAGCATGACATGTTAATGAAAATTTACCCCATATGTCATCATCTATGATCAATAGCGTATCTACATTCATTCTATTGCATCTTATGGTATATGCTAAAAGTTTTATATTCTAGAAATAATAGTCAATCCCATACATAAATGTATTTCTTTAATTAAAATTTTAATTAAGTTTATAATATTAAAAATTGTATTATATTATTAATAAACTATTATTAATAAAACGCTATAAAATACGTTTCTACTTTTTATATTTATTACCTTATTTCATATTCATTATCTTTGTTTGAAAATTTCATTATAAAAGTAATGTTTCATTATATTAATGAAAATGAACTCATGGTGAATACAAATTTTTGTAATTTTTATTAATTTACTAATTTACATTAATTAAATTTTGTTAATTAATGATGATATTTATTATTAAAATTAAAAGAGATTGTTTGGATTGAAATTTTAACCTTACTACAATGAAATAAGTTAGTTGATTATACTACTTCATTATTATGTCGAATTATATTGTTGACAAATATATAATAGTTATGTATTATAGAATAATTTAACATTTCTAAGTATCTGAACAATTTCATCATAAAAATTAAGATATATGAAATCATTTTGGATAAAGAAACATATTAATTAAAATTTTCGTAATATGTTATGACTAAAACGATTTACTACATGCAAATTAACGTGGATATATATTAAATAGATTGTTATGTTAAAACATTATGAAATCTAATTAATACAAGTAACATTAATAATGTTATATAGGAACTATACGTTAATCATTGGCATGATTTTTCTATATGATTTGTACACCTGTCAAACATATAACCTGTGAATATAAGTCGTAAACGCGAGTCAAGTGGTTGTTGTAACATGATACGATAAGTGCAAATATTAGTATCTATAATGTACTTTACTTAGAAATGTATTATGCATCTTTTGTTACATTAGTTAGTGATAATATTTCGTATTTGTTGAAGGTGCTTGAATTGCGTAATAAATTTATATTTAACAAAACTGGAAAGACATAAAAGCAACACGAATATACAAATCATTAACTAAATAAAATATCTGATAAATTTAAAAGATTGCCAATACGAGTTTATATGAATGTGTTAGTGCGGGGACAAGATCGAAGCCGTCAACGATGGTGCCGTTATCGGAAGCGCATTCCGACGACTTGGCCTTCGTGCTCACCTCCTCGTACCGACGTTGTTTGGAACGGCCGCATCGTCGTTCTGTATCTTCCGGAGGAAAAACCGTGTAAATACCATCGTACCACGAGTAGCATATGGATATAGCACCCTTGTCCCATGTACTGAGAGAAAGTGTCACAAAATCATGCCACTGATCGAACGTTTTCGCGATAAACAAAAAATAAGTACGATGAAACTATACACGATACGTATGAGCACGAGACATATCGTAAACTAACAAGTTAGTCGGTAGAGGGCCGCATTTACCGTTTGCTTCTATATGACGCGCGACGATTATGCGGTATTGTTCATAATTAGTCTTTATAATCTGGTAATGCTAAACAGGATATGATTGCTCTATGTCTTTTACGCTATAAAAATATACAATTAAAATATTATCGGAATTGACATCATACACTTAAGTTATTTCGTGATAATTAAAATATTCCAATTTTGAATAATGATACTGAGGCGGTTCCTATAGTGGTCAATTATAAGTACGCATGCGTATCTATACGCGCGTAATTTAATACAATAAAGCATATTATTTTGAATGTATTTTTATAAATATTACATATTCATATTATACCTATATTATATTTAATACTGTAAAAATTTCATATTTTACCTATTAGTAAATATGTGTGCTTCCGGATGAGAAGGTGATAAAACTACTTGATTAACACCCGATGATGCTTCCGTCTCCTGAGATTCAAATTTGTACATCTCAGGTTGAGACAGTGTCTCTGTCTCAGCAGGGGTACGCATGATTGCTTATTGTTTTGTATTCCAATTCTATAACAAAATTTATGACGTGTAAGCGATACAACTTATAGCTAGAAATCTTTATCAACGTTGTTTTAACTGAAAATATATTTTTTCCTAATTATTGCATGCACAAGTACATTACTAAGAAATAATGTCACTTGTTACAATGTTACTAAAAGTGAAGATCGAACGAAAAAGAGAAAAGACAAATAAGAAATCACCTTTGGCATAACATGGGGAGGTTGGGTTCAATGGAATGATAGTAAGAGGCGTGGTATGTGACCGTCACATACCAACCGTGGTTTTATTTTTCGTGCAAATTCCAAACCTAATCGTACTTACATTTTTAGTTAATGGTTTAAGAAATTATATAATTCGAAATAAGAAATTTGTATGAAAGGAAAGATAAAAGATTTCATTCAAATCTAAATGTGTTTTATAATTTTATACGCAAAAAGCTTTTTGTTTAATCAGTTACAAACAGAACTTATAAGAACGTAGGCATTTTTCATTAATCATAAAACATTTGTAACCTTGGTACAAAAATAGTATGATAGAGCTATTGTACAAGCGGATTAATTAAAAATTTTACTGGTTTTATAAAACCATCCATCAGGTACTGGTTTAAACCCGGCACCCTTTCGCGCTATGAAAAGAAAAAAAGAATACGAAGTTTTGTATAGTGAGTCATTCGTAGGCGTGTCTTGGATTAATCCTAAACACCTGTGCTGAGGACTAGGTAGGCTCTAATATACTAAGAACAACCCCCGAAACCTAAATCTGCCATAAGAAATTCCCTTCGAAATATATTTGAAGTGAATATAACAGAAATAGTACCAGCTATATTATTTCAGTCATATAATAATATTTTATGATTATTTAAAAGGATATATTGCACATTTAAGATCTATTTTATTAATGCGTATGTTCTTTTATTACACTATATATTCTGAAAATACAATAAAGGGGTTATTGGAAATTTTCTCAGACTTAACAAATCGATGTTCCAAAAGAGTGAACACATTATTGCACCCTTAGTTCTTTAGCAGACTGTTTCTATGAGTAAAGCTGGGGAAGAACGAATCGTAATGAAAAGGGTGTTCACTGTCTATCCTAATTTGTCGCTTTGCTGACCAGAATGCCATAATCACAGTGTACAAGTAAATACCTTATGATATCGATATTTAACAATATACTATAATATAACAAGATTCATATTACACAATAGATAAGATTATATTATTAAGAGCTGATGACTAATGTTGAAACGACAAATTTAATAAGGCTAACAGAATATGTTACGTCATCTTCAACCCTTTACACTTTTCTCGTATACAGATATGTGCGTGACTTCGTTATATTGAGAAAGTCTATCATAGGGTTTTATAGAACAAACTAAAAATACTTTCCAATATCGAGCTCGTGAAGCAAAAGAAAACAATTTATTAAAACTATGTAAATATGGAGAATAAGATGAAAAATAGATATTCATTCCGTATAACATAATTTGTTATTGCATTCAAAATAAGAGTGCAATATAATGCCTTCACCGTTGCACACGTTGACTTATTTATATGAATACACCACTGCTCCTGTTCAACGAACACGACCTCTTTGGGAAAGATGCAACGAGGGTTAAAGGTAGAACAAATCTCAGATTCACTGCCGTTTGAATAGTACGAAATGTAATCTATGCCATGAAATAAACAACGTGGAAAGAAGTGTAAACGAAATGTAGATAAGGTATGTTTCAAATAAATAATTAATCGCCAAAATAATTACAGAAACATATTTTTAATATATCGAATGTGTACACAATTAATTGTTGCTATATAATATAATGTAAAGATCTATTTTATATGTATTAAATAGCGTAAATTTACTCCAAATTTGTTGTTTATACATCTTTGTTTCGTATTTATTGGAAAATCGTATGCATTTATGTAAAAATGAAATTTGATGTGTCTATTAGACATACGTGTTAAATATTTCATTAGAGCAACGTATACAGTTTTGCTGCACATCCTAGCGTTGAAATCACCCGATAAATTGAGTGATCGCGGTGCTGTATATAAGCATTAGTGATCGGTACATACATTGCTTTAATGTTGCGTTAAATGGACAATATTTTGAAACGTATAATGTTTTGAAAATATTATTTCTGCTACTTCTTTTTTTGAATACGGGTTAAATGAAATTCAACATAATCTACCTGTTCAAGGACACGTAATGCAATATACCGAAGGAAATATGCTAGAAAAACATAATGATAAATTTACCAGCTTTTTATATAATCATTATTAAAAATAAGCACATCCAAGTTTGTGCAGTTTATAAATAGGAAAACAATACATATTTTTTTCTCAAATATTCTCATGGTATAAATCATATATATTTTTTATTTTATATACCAGTGCTCAATTTTAATACACTTTACTGGTTTTGAAGAAAATCGGAATTTCATATTATTATTTCGAATTATAACAGAAAATCTATCATTTCAATTCATTTCAATAATAGGGGTGTTTATGTCAATATATATAGACTAGTTTAAAAAATCTATTTCTATTCCAACCACCTATTTTTTCATTCGAGATCTCTTTCAGTCATATGAAAGTAATAAATATGTTTACTAAAGAGGTAATTTAGACTACACTTTAAAGTGCCGACAGTTTGGGCCAAGTGACGCTTCAATGTTTGAAAGAGACGCATGAAACGTGCACCACTGCGACGGACGGAATGAGATCCGTGCTCAATGCAGAACGATTGGGAACGTGAGCTTTCACTTTCCTCGCGCGGCTTGCACAAGCGAGACACTACCGTGGTTAGGGCGCACGACATTTGGTACGAAAAACTCGTCGATGCATGAAGCGTCAAATATTCGGATAAGACCGTACGAAAAGTTTCGTGTTTGAAAACGGGGAAGAAAAAGAGAAAGAGTGTGGGAGACGCTTTATCGATTATGCCGACAATGACGACGACAGTGGCGATTCACTACGAAGTATCCATAAAGTTGTATCTGGCGCCATGCATTTGTAAAGTCTTTGCAACTACTATGTTTGACACTATAAGCATGAGAGTTCTCGACTCTCTCAAAAATCGTATCCTCGTGTTGCACGTCACAATAATCATGCAAGAAAAAATATATATATATTTCACTGTTTAAACAGTAACACTATTATATATGTTGCAAATTGTAAGCGAGCTCATAGAGCCGCGGATTTATTTCTGTTGACGGTCATGAAAACAACCCCACAACACCCCGACGCACGACGCGTCCAGCGGACACTAAACAAAATGGCGCGTATGATCGTCCATGGCTTCGACACCAGAGTGCGCCTGTTTTATGTGTAAGTGTGTAAGAACGACAGCTCTGTATCTAGCAGAGGGGGACAAAGTACCGAACAGGTCCGTCTATTCAAACCACGCCTCTTGGTATTCGAGTCGCATACACGAATACTACTACATGCCGTGCTGTATATGCCGTGCGCAGGTTTATAGGGACGCACATATACTTTGGAAAAACCCTGCTAATAGAGTATGTACTAAAATAAAATATTTTAATATTCTGTCTGTCATAATAGTTTTAATGATCTGATCTTTAAATATCACTTGATTAAAAGCGTAAAGTATGGTATAGGTATCAACATGTTATTCGGAAAGAATCTTACAACCAATAATGTATTTATAAAACAAATACGCGGCCCTGCATATGTTAGATGGCGCCACTACCATACACGTTATTTCCTTCAACCCCGCATTATGAAAAATCGCTAATTTAAAGCTTTGAGATGGTATCTTTTTATTTTCGTCAAAAATGAAAAAATGGTTTTATAAATTTTATGTTTACTGCATACATCTTGAAACATATCTTATTAATTTATATTCAAAAAACTTGTTTTTTTTTTACTGGCAATATATACTATCATCAGATTTAAAAGATTAGTAGTGGGGTATACTTAATCTTAAAGGTGCTCAATAGTTAGGACATGCAGTGGGGGCGAAGAAGGGGCAGCAAACGAGTTTCTGACAATCGTAGCTGTACCTGTAACGCTTGACCGATGCTAGAGAACGGTGTGGATAGTGCATCTGTCGTTGTTTATATAGTATTCCCCACACTATAGATTCTTTTCTTTTTTTTTTTTCTACCTTTACATAACGCGTCTAAAACTTAGACCTTGAAATATCTTAGCTAGCCATAATAGAGTATTTTATTTAGAAATTTCAAAATGCTTTATACTGACATATAAAATATAAATTACATTTATACTTGTATTTGTTTGTACCCTTTATTATTCATTCAGTATTTTATCAATACCTATTTTATATAAATTTTCAGAAGAATTTGTCAATACATTTATGTATATAGTAACACGTTTAAATTTTAAAATAATTTGAAAGTGTTAAATAAGTTAATATGTTAATTACAAAATTTTTTTTAATATATTTATGTATAAATAATTCTAACGATCCAAGAATTAGATTACACGGTATTTTCATCATTAATACAACATTTAGTAATGCTACAATAGCAATGTTGTATAACGTAAGAGCATTCTCGTGAAATTTATCTTTCCGATTCTCTCTGAATGGACATAAGAGGGGAAAGGAGATGACTACCAATTCTTGGAAGTATTTTCGTTATTTCTTGGAAACGGTCAGAACTTTTTCGTTCCGCGTTATGTTCGTCGAATTCGGCCGCCCCTTCGCACAGGCGCAGAATATATCTTCTCACATTATAGGAGGGATGTATATTACCAGAGAAGTTCGTTCTATTTTATCTCACTCTCTCCGAGTTAGACTGAAATCCATTCTCAGCCCGTTACCTCCTATCTTTTCTATGTCAAATTTTCTTCTATCTTCTTTTATTTCTTATCCTCTCTTCGTTGTATATGGTATCTATCAATGTATATATGCAGCGTCGCAAATTGGTCGATTTTCTTATGACGTCATAGTTACCCTTTCATTCGTGTTCTTGACTTCTACATATGCAATATTTGAATTTGTTGCCCTAGTTGTTTTTTGAATACTTTGTATTAAATTTTGGGACTATACCTTTTATTTATATTTAAAAGTGTAATTTAATAAATTTTAATAATTGCTGTTGATAAATTTTTGTAACATATATAGATATTTATCTACATAAAAATGATATTATAGGAAAGTGTATAATGAAATTTTAATTTGTTATTATTTCATGTGAGAAACTAATTCTTTATATTCTTTCACAACGTTTTCAAGTACTGCAAATGCTTGTAGAAAATCATCCTCTTCTAAACCAAATTGTTTATATTGGTGCAAAAATGCAGAATGAATATAAGACTTCCAAGTTTTATTTAATAGTGTATCTAAAGAATAAGAGATCTGAGAATTATTTGTTACCAAAGCAAGAAATTTATCATGGTTTAAAAATTTTCGATTTTGATGCCAATGAGAGAACCAATCAATTGTATTCCAGTTTGCATATAAATGTTTTTCTTCAAATTTATCAGTCATTATTAGATTTTGTTCTTGTATTATTCCACGTGTTATCAAAATATTTGATACTGAACAGGCATATACATGATGCGCTGTATTAGCTAATGAATTAGATGGCATTTTTAGTTCAATGTTAGTCAACTGAGAATTCAAATTTGATATTCTAAGTGTTTGCTTTAAATGGTGTATGTATGAATTCCAATTATACGTAGATTCATAGTTTGCAGACGTTGCAGGTATATGTGGAGTAGTTTTGATTGTTGCTATTTTATATGATGGATGACATACTATCTGAGACAATAATGAATTTATATTACATTTCACATGATTTATCGGTTGAAATACAGCTAATAATTTTTCTGAAATAACTTTATTCATATCCTGTAAATTTGTAGCTGATGTTTGTAATAAGTTATTGCATATATTATATATTTGTTCATTTTCAATTAAAATGTTTATATCACTTTCGTTGTAAAGTTTTGCTAAAGTTAACAATGTGTTATAGTTTTGTGTACATACTTCACCAAATGAAAATGGTAATACCGTTGTGTTAACAATTGGTTTTTTATCATACTCCTCGCGTAATAGTTTTGTAATATAACTTCCAATACCAGATCCTGTTCCACCTGCAGAACTTAATAACAAAAGAAATCCATCAAAATGGTCTAATTTTTCTGTTTCCTGTCTTATGCAATTTAATATCACATCGCTTAACTCATATCCTTTTATCAAATAACCAAGTGCCCAATTGTTTGCACAACCTCCTCCAGCTTGACAAATTACATTTTTTGTTGAATATGTCCATGGATTATTTGTGTCATTATAAATCTTATTTATCACCTTTTCTTCTGTATCTACTAAAACTGCCCTTGCTAAACGTTCATTACTTTTAGATATACCGCTAAACCATTTATCGAATGTATCTTCTGAATACTGAAAATTAGCCTTATGTGATACACCTGTATTTACACATTCCATATCAGATGATACTTCCGAGAATAACGTATGTCCTAGTTGATTTCCACATTGTCCAAATTGTATTGTAAGCATTATTGAAATATAATTTCATTTACTTAACTTATAACTTGTTAATTATGTTAACAAAACAGGATAATAAATTTCTTTCATCACGTTCGCAAGAACATAACTCGATTGAATTGATTTATATTTAGTGACATAAATATTATGAAGAAAATAAATTTACATATTAATATTGTTATAAAGCCTACAAAATTTTTTTCGAAGAAGTACTTAGTAAAAAAATTAATTTTGAATGACTATATAGGATGTTTAAAAATCTTATTTAAAAAAGATACAAATTTGAGTCAAATTGCAGTAGGGTTACTACATGATCAGTTAAAGGTAATATCTGTAAGTAGTTTAACAGGTCACCGCAAGATCACGTAATCATAGCGCGCGATAAAATTGTTAAAAATAGCAATAAATTTTATGAATACATATATGAATGTTACATGAACGTGTATTGTAACATTGTGTTCTAATTAAATATAATTAAAATATTTTTAAAATATGATACATAATATATTTGAAAATGTATATATACTCTAAATTAATCTATATATTTATAGATTATAAAAATCTTTCGTTACATGTAATAGCAATTTATTTATTTTCTTAAATTTCGTTCATATATCTTTAATTATAACGCTAGTATATTAAGAATAGTAATAAATAAGGTTAACTTTCAATCATATGAACACGTATTTTAAGGACGATCAGCAATATATATAAGCATATAAATGAATAGAAAAAGAACCATAAATGAATACCTCGTATTTTAATGAACAAAATTAAATATACTGTATTACAATTACTATTTAACTTCTATATTACTGTGTAAATTCCATCTTATATAAAGTTTCTATTATCTAAGCATAATTTATTATTTTTCAGAATAAAAATGTATCATTGTTATGCTTTGAAAATATAATTTTATTCTAATTTTTATTGTAAATAAATGTCGAGTTACTAATAAATTATTACAAATAACATTGTGTAGAATTCTAATCAATTAATATTTATTATAGAATTTGCAAAGTTACGAAAGGTTTAACATAATATGAATGCAGTTTAAATATAGAATAATTGTCTTCCAATCATTTCTTGAGCATACATAGATATTTCTTACATCAATATAAGCTTATTCAATATCTTGTAATAAATAGAGAAATTCAAACATTTCTCATAAATCAACGTTCCTTATGATAATTGCCTAAAGTATATGTGCGATTGACAACTTTTGTAGGATATGCATACATGCCATTCTAGCAGATAATCTTCAATAAAACATGAGTGTTTTTTATCAACTACTATATATGTTTATAGTGTTGGTCGATAACACGAGATTCGTGAAATAAAAATGTAAAAAATAAAATGAACTATCTCGAAAATATAACATCTCGCATGTAGTACAATAGTAAACCAATGTATTAATATTATTATATAACAATAAGGAAAGTGCAATTAACTTGCATGTTAATTCATAAAACTATTACAAATTCGACAGAGTAATGTAGAATTTACATTTTGAATGTCACTATCACGCGAACAAAATAACAAGCAATATGCTTGAACTCTGCAACCAGTGTTACAACATAAATTACAATTCGGTGATCATGTGGACAAACAGAATTTCCAGTCGTATGCGAAGAAAGGAAGACAAAGAGTGGGGTTGCATTGAATTTTACGGCTTATTCGACGAACAGTCGACAGTTCGTCATGACGACAAACCACGGAGAGATAATAAACGACGCTGGACAATCCTATTTCATCGACTGGATTTAGTTTCCATTGATTGGGACCTCGCATCTTATCGTACGGCGTTGTGAAACGGCAAACGTACTGTCAATTCATATTGGGCGTGGACATTTTAGTAGCGTTTCTTTTTTTTCTTTCTAGTTTCACTTAATTGACGCTAGTGACGTATCAAGCCTCGAAGTTTTGCTTCTCCAGCCGTGTGTGTTAGCAATAGTTGCGTCCTTCGTGAAACTCGTTGTACGTCACAAAGCAGTGACGTACAGTTGCGAAACGATCAAAGACGAATCGAAGACGATGAACGGAGCTACAAGATGTTAACTTACAAGATGTCATTTTTTGAATGGGTTACAAAAGCTCGTGGCACGCTGTAACACGTTCAGTGTATTGTTTCATGTGACATGCTTTTTTATGAGGAATGTTGAAACATCAAAACTGTGTGGAAGTTCTAGTTCCAGCTGTGGCCTTCGGAGGAGCGTAGCGTCACCGGCAGTAGTGTCCAAGGCAGTGTCGTATAATCACTATGAAATTAATGTGTATGTTGTGAACGAATTTTCATAATTATAGAATTTCTATATCGCGTAATTGTATATTGTGTAAGTTTGGTGCGTGGCATGCGTTAACGATTTGGTAACAGTAAAATTTCTGAAAGTTTCCGTTCACCGACATCTTTGCCTCCGAGAATCGACGAAGAAAACTCATCTACAAAGACGCCATGTTACAAGTTGGTGATGATCAGAGGCGCTGACAAAGTGACCGCGGCCAACAAAAACGATGATTTGTCCGAGTAATTCCGTATGATAAACTTGGTACGTGTTTGCATTAAAAGAAGTTAAATTATTATTACATTCTCTTCCACTCTATTAATGTTGTTGTTATCAAGTTCCTTATCATTCCCGGTGTCTTCCTTATTGAAGTTTCCATTGTAAATACTTTTCCTTTTAGAAAACGTTCTTTAGCTTGTCGTGTTCCATATTGCATGATTGCGTAAATTTTATAGTATACATTGATCTTCGCCCCAATAATGCGATATTCGTCTCGTCGTCGCGTTCTTCGTGTAGAGAAAAAAAGAAGAAACAAAGGAAAGATTCGAACAAATGCAAACAAAAACATTTCAAACTATCTAGTAACTTAAAATTTGTCTTTAATGACATATAACATTATTGGAATTGATCATAGATTAATGACTTTCTAAATATATGTACAATCCTTGAATAACCAATGTTAATGAGTTTCTTGGAATTCCTTAGAAACAGAATTTTCTAGACAAAGAAATTCTTTTGAACTCTTTATTTTATTATTTCTTCTATACGATATATCCTACAGAGGATTTTATAAAAGGGTCGTTACTTGTACAAGCGCATACACTGTTCAACTATTTGTACAATGTATATGCAAAGTCCGTAAAACGATATGCTTAGTGTCCTGGAATTTACAAATACAAATCGGTCGGGATATACCTAATTATACACACCTTAGTGTGTTCACCATCAATGAAAAACATTGATCCATTACGCTGGATCGTATTTCAATGTAAACTTCGCTATGTCTCCCAAGAATACGCACTTTGTTATTTTATTACTTATATTTATCTTCTTCTGTTATCTTTGTTTAACTTTCAAACTCGGATTTCTTGCTCAAATCAAATTTGACGAACTTCGTCAATTGAAAGTATTTTCGTTAATGCCGTATTCTCTTTTTTCGACATGTCTCCTCCTAAAAAGAAAAGAATGATTTTATTTGCACATATAAATTACTTGAAATGTACGTATCAGTTTTATATAAGTAAACGTGTTTATACGTCTGAATACAAATGTTTTAATATATTAAATAAACATGACCTTTTTCCTACAGTGTACTGGTATGGTAACAGTGCAGCAACATCAGCAAACGATACCGGACGGGAACCAATTTCTGAAAGATCAGGACCAAATAAGCAACATCACAAATGTAGATCGCGATACCGAAAATTGTGCCGATATAGTTAATTCTGCTAAGAACTCCGCGGTTAGTGTCACCGAAAATGGTAGCCTTACCGATTCTTCTACGCAGTGCAGTAACATAGAGGACGACGATGAAGAAAATGAAACGGATATCGAAGAAGGAGATTGGGTACCTGACTTACCTGTGCCAGTGGTGTTTCAGCAGCACCAGCAAGTGACCACTGCGGATGGCAATGTGGTATTACCTAATGCAGACGTCTCGAATTTTGGTGATGTGCGCGTAAAAAATTCGGCTAATGTGCATCTTGGTAACAAGACCTTTTATAAAGGTCCAGTGACAATAAAACAGTTCGTTTATACGAACACAGCTTCGATACCGGAGTCCGATACGGTGGAGAGCGATAATGTTCGAGCATCAGATGTCCACATATCTGATTTGTCAACTATTAAGGAAGATTCAACAGCTAACAGCTCGATCTTATCAAAAAATCCTGATCTCGATAACGGTAATATTTTTAGGAGTCTGTTTTCGGTAGATGGTATTTGTTCAGGTTTCTATAGAATGGTTTTATGGGGATGTGTAAAAACGACCATAACGATGGGAGAATCCGTTAGGTTTTATGCTAGGTGAATTTCTGTGGGTGGCTATTGAAAATAAATTCGCTATTCATGTGTACAAAATATTTGCCTGTATGTCTACAGAAATTTTTCATTTTTATGATAGTTAATATTTACATTGAATGCACTCATACTGTGATTATCTAGATATTTCGAAAACTATTCCTAAATACCTACACATTTTAGATCATGTTATTTTAACCATAATTAATAGATGTTATAGATTTTGTCCCTATTTTTTTTATTTTAAATATTTAATTTTAAACATTCTATTTATTTGGACGATTTTTTAGATTGTTTTCGGATTGTTTGATGACAAAGAGGGCTTACGTTTTTATATAGATATAATTCTTCCTATCAAATCTGTGAGCTTCTGGATTTTATCGTTAATGATTGGGTTTTATCGTTGCACAGTTATTTAATGAAAATGATAAAAATTAATACGAAATATCTATATCCTATGTTAATATCTTTGTTATATAATTATAATTTTATTTAGTATCATTAATATATGTAACCAATAGTGTTACCAGTAGCTATGTGTTTTTACTTTTTTATTTTGTATATGTCAGTAGTATAGTATATAATAATTTATTATAAAGAAAATGCTGATAGATATAAGAAATATTTAAAAAAGATTAAAATGTGCAAGAAAAATATTACCAAAATCATTTATAAGTATATCAGTAATGATATTACTAATATAATTACTTTTTTTTTTTTCTTTTAGTAATACTTTTATATTCTTCTAGTAACAAAATGGTTATGGACCTGGCGATGTGCAACGTTTTTGTGTATACTAGCTTTATTTTTTGTAACTACTGTGGTCATAGCCAGTGTATATCTCACTCGCAATTCTACAATCCCGCCAACTCTAGTTTTCCCGGAAATACCTGATTCTTTGCTTGGAGGTAATCGTAATTTTCTTAATGGTCAGATATTAACAATATTTTCGAAAATATTTTGTATATCGATGATGATCTGAAAAATGAATATACTTATTAAATTTTAATGATTAAATTGCAGATGTTAAAGTAAGAAATGTCCGCTTCATTGAACGAGGCGAATGGATTGCACAACCACCTACAGAACCATTAATAAAAATGAAACTTCCAGTACCGTATGTGATTATCAGTCATACTGCAACTGAATTTTGTACGACACAGTCGGACTGTACATTTCATGTTCGATTTACACAAACGTTTCACATAGAATCTAAAAAATATGCAGATATCGCTTATAACTTTATTGTTGGTGGCGATGGATACGTATACGTTGGACGCAGTTGGGATTATATGGGTGCTCATGCCTTTGGATACAATAATAAAAGTATAGGTATTTCTTTTATCGGGACATTCAACACCGTGATACCACCCAAAATACAACTGCACGCTGCACAACGAGTTATCGAATTAGGCGTAGAAAATGGTAAAATTGCGAAGGACTATAAATTATTAGGACATCGACAAGTCTCGAGAACTTTAAGCCCAGGTGATGCGTTATACAGTATCATTAAAACCTGGCCTCATTGGTCACCATCGCCATAAACAATTTTTTTTTTATAAATATATATATATAATACGATGTAACAGTGGTATCTCGAATTTATCTGATTATTCTTATCGCTCAAAATTCTGGCAAAGAATTAGAAAAAAATATATAAAAAATTATATAACTCAAACAATGCAATTACTTTCGTATTTATACGTTTGCGTAATGTTTTAATACTTAATTTTACTGATAAAATGATATAAATATTCTGTTTATTAATGACAGTTTCAAGAATGACATTTTATACAATTTAATTATAAATTCATCTGCATATATTTCAATATATCCGACGCAACGTTAAACGAAGCATATAAAAGAAAAACATGATACAAGGATCTAGGATGTATAAATTAGTTGAAAAATGTAAAAATTTCGTATTTCCGACTGTAAATGTATTGTACGTATATTTTTTTATGTAAATTGTTCTACGTCTATTTGAACAAATAATGTACATATTGTGAAAACAAAAATTACGTAAGAAATACAAAAGCAAATTATAATATCATGTTTTTTATTTCAAATACTATATATTAAGCTTTCTAAATGTTTATACAAATTTTTTGGCGGGACTTACTTTACGATTCATTGTTACATTAAATAAATAATACAAGATAGGTTGTATTGCAGACATGGTATGGTCGGCAATGGTTATGTTAACGAAGAAGCAATTCAATTTTTAGCTCTTTATTGTCAGAGGGCGCTGGATCTCTTCACTGTAGATCGTTAAGTCTTGTTTACAATTTTGATATGTTTTAATTGAGAAGCTTTGCGGAACACAAAAAGGATACAAGTGCTTGAGAAGTGATTGATTATGGAACGCATATTGTTTAAGGCAACTGTTACTAACAGTATCCTTAAAGGAAGTAAATGTACAGAGCTCTCAGGGATTGACAATTTTTATACATGTTTATAATTTTTCGATTTATATGTCAATGATGATGTCATTGTTAAAAAAACGAATCGTGTACGAATTTATAGTTTCGAAGATAGCCATTTTGGCGGGTGACGTGTTTGCATGCCGAGTATTGACAGCCATAACATAAATGATCGACGTTGCATGTAATATGGCGATAATTGATTTTCCGATGTTCGGAAAGCAAAGAACATGGTAATTTGTGACTCAATTATGAAAGGATTAGTACGATTTTTCACAATGGTGAGAAATATTTATGAATTCGAGTATTGGCGGATAGTAAACAGAAGAAAGGCCGCGTATAATTTTCAGCTGCGCTAGGGGGGGCAATGCACCATGGGAACAATTTGCGACAGGCGCATGCGCAGATCAGTTTACAGTTGGAGCTTGGAAGAAAATGGCGTCAGCTAAGTTTCTGGAGGAAGCTCTGAGCACGGACGTCGATGAATCCGCAGTGAACGCGATAGTGGGCTCCCTTGAAACGCAACTAGTAACATCGACGCCGGCTGTCTCTGGTCATCAAGTAAGTTCTGCGTCAGTCAGCCAGCAGAATCATCAGGTGAACAGTGGTATTTCCAACGGGGGCACCATCACCGCGGTACAACCACAGAAACATGGGGTTTCAAACGGCGGCGGTGCTACTACAGTAAATAGTCTGATGAGTCAAGAAGTTACGAAGTCCATTACCACGAGTACTCTCCTCCCTGTAAACGTGGTTACCTCAAACACAGTGGCGCCACAGGTTACTACACAACAGCAGCAACAGCATACACAGTCAGCAGTCCCCCCTGCTGCTTATATCAATCAAGTTACTACAAACCAGGTGACCAGCAATCAAACGACAAATATACCAAGCCTTACAAAATCACATGAACCTGTCAAGATTATTTATCCAACTGTTGGGCAAGTAATAGCAACCACAGGGGTTGCAAATGCAAATAATAAACTTTCTTTTCCTGCACAAACTGTTGGACAACTAGCCAATGGTACTTTGGGGATAACGTCTCAGGCAGTGTTACAGACAACATCAAATGTTGTTTCCAATGTTGGCTCTGTCAGTGAAACAGGCAGTCAAACAGTTGCTAGTGTAAATAAGCCAACAGGTACAGCTTTGGTGATAAAGACTAGTGTAGCACCCAGTGGCATGGTTTCTGTTCCAATGTCTGTTCCTGTTTCTGTGACTGGCAATGCTGTCAGCACAGCTCTACAGGGTAAAGCTGGAGTTACATCTACGATAGTACCCAGCAATGTGCAAATTCTTAATGTTAATACAATGCGTCCTAGCACACCAGTGGCAGGACAACAAGCAGGAAAACAAGTTGCACCTAGAGTAGTGATTGGTCAACACATGCTTGGAACAAGACCTGGAGCTCCAGGGGTAAGATGTTTATAGTTTATAAACAAATATACATATATACTTAAAGGTCATTTGATTCATTTTTATAATTTATTTATATTAATTTTATTGCTATTTTTCGAGATTTTTAGTATTTTCACTGAATCTGATTCATATTATTATATGTATAAATATATATTCTCTTAACTATGACATTAAATTAAAAAATATTTTTCTTGTGTAATACATGTTTGTATCTTTATTTAATATTTTGCTAAAATTTTATTTTTTACATTTTTAGATAACATTACAAACATTACATGGTCTTCAACCTGGAACTCAGGGTCATATACTATTAAAAACAGAAAGTGGGCAGTATCAGTTACTAAGGGTAGGGCCACCTCCAACAGCAGGTACTCCTGCTGGTACTGCAGTTACACCAAATAGTATAGCGGGAAATGCAGTGGTTGCTGCCCCATCTCCAGGCACTACCTATCGATTAGCCTCAGTGCCGGCTGTAAGTAGGCTGAACACACAGTTCACTGGCCCACCACTCGCCACCTTAAGAAAATCTGTTCAGGTGACGCACTCTTATACCTCTTACAAGACTCGATGTAGTGCGGTAGTAGACTTTTAGTTTGTGCCATTAGTTGGAATGGTGTTATTGGTAAGGCTATGTATTATGTTTACATTCTTTCATTCTGCGTTGTGTTGTTTCAGTTACATGAAATTTTCTTTAAAACAATTAATAGTACAAATATCACTTTGATATGTACAAAAATGTTTTATATTTATATACTATTGACTTAAGGATTTATAGAAACTTTCAGTTGTTATAAGACAGAAGTTTTATGTAGTACACAGAGAGTTTTGTTTTCTTATTGGCTTATTTGCTGGGATGCCTCTTTATTGTAGAATTTCTACGTTTTTAAAATATTTGCAATTATTTTATTAAATTCAGTGCTGTTATCATATGTACACATATTGCATGTTATATTGGTTAAGGGTATTATAGAGTAATTTGTTTTTGGAGTTTTGAAAAAGTAATTAAATTTA